GCTGGCCAGCTAGCAGAGGAACTTTGCGGAAATCCAAGAAGATTTTTGGCTTTAGAGCCCCTTTAAAGCGGCTCTGGCAGCACACCGATGACGGCATTTTGGAGACCGGACAGAGACGCAGAGTTCTGTCTGCGTCTCTCCTCTGGGCGCGCTCTTTCTCTCCCTGCCGCGACGCACCCGACCGCGACGCTTCCACGAATCGTGGAAAAAGGGGCTTGCTGCCAGACGCCCTTTAAGAGTCAATTTTTCAGCGTTTGCAGACAAAAAAAAATTCCAAAAAACTCCTAAAAATCCGTAGTGATCGCTCGAAATCGAATCGAAATTCGGGGAGTCGAACTGCCAGGCAATCTAGCAGAGATTTTTGCGGATCCACAAAAAGATTTTTGGCTTTAGTGGCCCCTTAGAAGTACATTTTTCAGTGTTTTGCAGGCCAAAAAATTCAAAAAAATGTGCAAAAATCCGTGGTGATCGTTCGGAATCGAAACGAATTGTGGGAATGGGAAGGCCATTGGCGGAAAAGAAAAGAACGAATGAAATATATGGCAGAAACGATACAGCCCCCCCCCCCCAAAAGTATCGAAAATCAATCGCAGATCTGCAGTGGATTCCGGCGAAATTCCGGTGGAAAAAGGAGCATCGCGGAATTTATGATTTCTGAAAAAGGCGGGGGGATGGAAGGGAAGGGAGGGATCGAAGCGTTCACAGGAAAAAGCGGAAATATGGAGGGACGTCAGAATGGATGGGAATTTACGCACGCAGAAAGAAAGAACAAGACGCGATTGGAGGTAGAATTTCTGTAAATGGTCTCTGCTAGCCTGCCCTTTCCTAAATGATCACTGCTAGAGCTTGCCTTGAGGGCAAAAAACGGGACAAACAGCAAGGATTCCCGAGATTTCGAAATCCTGTCGCAAATGGTCTCTGCTAGCTTGCCACTAGGACAACGAGCAGCGTTTCTTTAGGACATCCAGAATTCGGCCGCAAATAGTTTCTGCTAGGTTGCTAGAACCTCGAGAAGAACGGGTAGCCAGCAGAGCCCTTTGGAATAAAAATTTAGCAAGGCAAATTAGCAGAAACGGTTTAATTTTCCTCCCAGATCGGTCGTCATTTCCTTATCAATTCGTTTGCGCCGTGCAAGTTTCGAGAATCCAATGTCCATGTGGGTTTTCCGAGAAAAAGCCCTCCCTCTGCAAAACACAGCTGATAATGGGAATGAGAGAAGAGAAGAGAGGCCATCAAAGGGCAAACCAATAAATAGGGGTTTCCCCCCACTAACCGGATCTGCTTGTTTATTTGACTAAAAAAATCCCGGGAAGCTAGCAGAGAAAATTTCGGGTACTGGGCTCTTAGCGGGGGACCAAACTTTCCCTGTGATTCCCTACGGTCCGATAACAAAATATAAACGATTTTTATAGCATTTTACATAGTATTTAGGTTCAAAAGCAATATAGAAATCACTAGACTTTTTCTGAACTGGGGGCAGGCTAGCAGAGCACCTTGTGGAACACGCAATTTTCGGATTTCGAAGGCATGCTAAAAGAGAGTATATGCCGTATAAAAATTTCGTAGATTTTTAGGCACGCTAGCAGTGATTCGTGAGGAAGATTACCGATTCTAAATATCCACTAAAATTCCGCAACTTTCCAATAGACAACGCCCCCATAAATGTTGCCTTTCCGGGTGTTCGTTTTCAATTTTTCCGCGCAAAAAGCCGCAATAAGGGGGTCCGTTTTGTTTATGGCTTTTGTCTCCTGGAGAAAGAGAGAGAGAGAGAGAGAGAGAGAGAGAGAGAGAGAGAGAGAGAGAGAGAGAGAGAGAGGGAGAGAGAGACGGGGAAATGGAACCGGCCGGTCAACTTTCAACCGCCTAAAAACTCCCCATCCACCACTGGGGTGTTGCCATCCAGATGGAGTTGATCAAGGGGAGCAGCCCTGCCTCTGGAAAAGCGGAAAAATAGAGCAGAAAATGGAGCTTTTTTTGCATGGGGATGAGGGCCAGATGGGGCACATTTTTGGAACCGTAAATAGTGACCCCAGAAAATAGGATTATCAACTCGAGGTGGAGCAGTACAAACCAAACGTGCCGCAGACGGTGCAAAACGTCAAAAAAAATTCCAAAGCACACTTGCGCACAAAAAAAAATTTAAAAATGATAATAATCAACCCCTTTAAACAAAAAAAAATCCATCAAATTAGGAAAAATCTAAATTTCTTGCAAAAATGACCTGATTTCGGACATCTGGGAGTTGCGGGAGCAGGGCAGGATAGCAGAGATCCTTGCGGAATTCGGACGGTCTCTTCAGGTCGGTCCCGTCCTTACCAGCCCTGAAAAACCGACTGAAAACTGTGGTAAAGTTCTTTAACTTGCAATTTCCGAGATTCCAATGAGCCTGAGTAGAGGCAGGCTAGCAGAGACCATTGGGGAAGCCTAAAAGTACAAATATCTACAGAATTGAGTGAGAGAAAAATGAAAGAAAACACAAACAATTTGAAAAATCCGCGACGATTTCTATCTTTTAATAGATTAGGCTAGCAAAATTGCGGAGGTTTAATCGGTTACGCCATTAAATTCTCCAAAAATTCTAATGAGCCTGAGTAGAGGCCGGCTAGCAGGGACCATTGGGGAAGCCTAAAACTACAAAAATCTTCAGATTTGAGAGATAGATACAGAGATCACGAAAGAAAACACAAATAATTTGGAACAGTCGTGTAAAAGGATCTCTGCTAGCTGGCGATTCCTCAATAAACACCGCTAGCTAGCCCTTCCCAAATAATCTCTGCTCGCTGCCCCGTCCCCACTTCCTCAAGAATCCCTGCTAGCCTGTTAGTCTTGCCTGAAAATCCCCAAGAATCTCTGCTAGCTCTCGCTTCCTCAAAAATCCCTGCTAGCTTGCCTCCTATTTCCCAAATAACCTCTGCTAGCTGGCCCCTAAACTAAAAATTCTTTTTTTTTGTATTTTTAAGATTTTTTTTGCAATTTTATTTAATTAAAACTATAATAAATAATATTTATTTGGTGGAGATATCATTGATGATGTGGAAGCTACAAAATTACACACAAAAATCACACAAAATGGCGCAAAAAAAATCGGTGAAAAATCAGGGTGGGACTACGGTATATGGTGGGTCATTTTTGGCGTCAAAAATTACAGCAAAAAATATCACAATTAATGGATGTCAAAATCGCAAAAATTAGCTCAAAATTCGCTGCAAAAAATAGATATTTAGGGGTACGGTAGCCCGGCTACAGGAGTCAAGCGGAAAGTGGGGGTACGGTACTTTTTTACAGTATTATTTTCTGGGCTTTTCCAAGAGTGGAGGGCACATTTTAGGGGGATTACAGTAATTTTCAGGTTACGGTGGTTTTCGCAAAAATCGCCGTAATTTAAATTTAAAAATTTTCTAATTTTGAAACCAATTAAAAATTTTCACTAAATTAAAACGCATTTTTTTAGTTTTCCGATTTCTAAAAACGCCATAATTTTTGCGAAAGTTACGGTATCGAAATAATTATAATTTTAAAAATATTTTTTTCCATTTTCCAAAAAAACTAAAATTTGCATTTGCCCTAACGTAAATCGTATTTTTTGAATTTTCGATTTCTTCAAAAAATTAGTAATTCTCCTAAAACATGCCCCAATTAAAATCAATTAGCATAATGAAAAATTTTTGAGCAAAAACGAGAATTCAAAAAAAATCGGGTCTGGTTTTTCGGTTGAGGGTTACGGTAGGTAGCAATTACAGCATGCCACAAAACGACAAAAATCACTGAAAAACAAAAAAGCACAATTACAGTACGCCGATCACGTGGAAATCGCGGAAAATCGATGAAAGGGTACGGTACATTCAAAACGAAGCCTTTATTCCGGGAGCTGTTTAAAAAGAAAGAGAAACGAACAAAACGGACCAAATCGACGATAAATCTAGGGACAAAACAAATGATATATAAAGATAGATATAAATTCTATTTTTATAACAAATGAGATTTGGGGGTGAGAGAACGAGAGGGAACAGAGAAAAACAGACATGCAAAACGGGGCCCCGGAAACGATTACGGCATGGAAGTCGGGACAGTCGATTACGCTAGAAAATACAGAAAAATCGATTACGACGTAAAAATCCAATTTTATCTAATTCAGGATCGCTTACGCCACGTAATTCCAGCTAATCGATTACGCTAGAAAATCCAGAAAAACGATTACGCCACTAAATTGAGAATTTTTATGTATTCAGAACCGATTACGTCAAAAAATTCTCGGATTTAACTGCCGAAATTACTACCGTAATCGCTTAAACCCGGCGGATTTGATCGCGTAATCGATTACGGCAGGAAAAGAATGTAATTCTTGGAGAATTTAATGGCCTAACCGATTAAACCTCCGCTATTTTGCTAGCCTAATCGATTACGGCATGGAAAAGGCCGTGTTTTGGCCAGAATTTGAGCGCGTAATAGATTATGCCATGAAAAGGCGCGGTTTTTGCCGGAATTACATGTCGTAATGGATAAAACCTGCGAGATTTTGCTAGCCCCAACAATTACGACATCGAAATCATCGGGTTTTGGTCAGAATTGATGGCCTAATCGCTGAAACCACTCCATTTTCCTACCGTAACCGTTTCCGAGGCAGCGTAACCCTCTAAAGGGAGCGTGCCACGAGCGGGAAATTCGGGGAAACAACAAAAATACCGTAATTCTCCCAGGAAAATCGAGAAAAACGAGAAAGGGGTGAAATCGAAAAAGAGACTAGTATTTCGAGGGGTTTTTGAAAGGGTGTCTTTTGGAGGGTACTGTATTTGGGAGGGGTACGGTAGAAATCTCTGGGTTTCTATCAAAAACACACAGGGCAAACGAGCAGGGGAAATTGCGGAAAAATGTCAACGAAGAACCGCCGAGTATTTACAGGCAATTTTTATCACAAAAAATGATCGGGGGTGAGAGCCGAAAAACGAGGAGATTCGTTAAAGGTACCGGGAAGGTGGGGGATAGGCTACAAAGTACACCTATTTCCGCTTCTTCGCCGCAGCAGCAGCGCCAATTGAGGAGCCCTTCCGCTTCTCCACCTTGCTCTCCGAGCGCTTTTTCTGAAAAAATGGATTGAATTTTTCATTTTTCAAAAAAACATAAACCATCGATTTTAATTTCATGGCGTAATCGGATAGCCTTAACTGGCGTAATTGGTTCTCTAGACCCGGAATTTGATGCCGTAATTGATAAAACACAGTCCAAAACGTGGAAGGTCAGAAAAAGCCCAAGAAATCGATTACGCCATCAAAGTACGGACTAGGCTTTGGAATTTCGCTGCGTAATCGATTACGTCATCAAAACCGCCACCAGAATCGATTACGCCGGGAAACTCTCAATTCCCAGAAGCCGAATCTCATGCCGTAATCGATAAATCCTTCAATTTTTTACTGCATAACCGATTAGGCCACAAAATTGGCTGGTTGCTAATTCCATGGCGTAATCGATTACGCCAGCAAAATCCCGATTTCCAGAAGCCGAATTTCATGGCGTAATCGAATCGAGGCGCCTAAAAAAAGAAAAAATTGACTGACCGTGCACTTATCACAGAACCACTGTTGTTCGGCCGGGGGTTCGACAGTAATGCCGACACATGCCCAATGATACCAATCATCACACGTATCACAGCCAACCATATTTGCCCCATCGGCATACGCCACAGAACACACCGGGCAGATCCAGACTTGCTGAAAAATGATGCGTTAATGAAATACCAAATTTATTAATTATTAAATATTAAATTAAATTTAATTTAAAATAAATTAAATTAATAAAATAAATAAATTAAATATTAATAGAAAATAGTAATTTAATAATTCGAAGGCTTAATAAAATATATTTCAAACGGGCGTCAATAGTCAAAAAACGTACCGGATCGTCGCCATTGGCCTTTCCCTTCACCGGCGCCTCGTCCTCATCTTCAGTGAGGTCGACGCTCGCCCGGGATTTCACCTCCTTCTTCTTGGCGGGCTGCTTCTGAAAAGGAAATGATAGAGCTCTGGGTTCGAAAATGCCGCCCGAACGGCCTGAACTTGTCGGGTATCACAAAAATTATATCATTTAGTGTTTTTTTAATCGCCGTCTGAACGGCTTGAACTCGTCGGGTATCGCCAAACTATCACCAATATTATTTTGTGAATCCGAAAATGCCGCCCGAACGGCTTGAACTCGTCTGAACACGAAAACGATATTATTTTGTATTCTAAAACCCAGCCCGAACGGCTTGAACTCGTCGGGCATGCCAAATATGTTTTTACCCATTTCCCCCCATTTCGGTCTCAGTTAAAGGGGCGAGAAAGTGAGAGAATCAACCCCCTCTTTCCACTAGGTCTCGACAGCTACGAATTACGCAAAATAACGGTTCCAATCGACCGTTTTTATGTTTTTTAGCCATTTTAATTTGGCACGAAATAAAACTGTCGAGACCTAGGCGAAGTCAGGGGTCGATGCAACGCTTCCTGATACCTGTAAAACCACGAAAAAATTGTTACCTTAACCGGCTCGGCCTTCTTTTTGGCCTCAACGTGTGGTTGTGCTGTAGAGGGCGAGGGTTTTGGCGGGGTCTCCTTCTTGACTGAAGCAGTCGAAGCTTTTGCGGGTGTGGACGTGGTGGGGGTGTTGATCTTCTCCTTTTCCCGCGACTTCAACACGATCGGGGGCACTGCAAATGGAACCAAATAATAGAATAAAATTCGCAAAAAAAATTTCGAAAAATAGAAGATATCTTCTAGTTTTTTTTGTCGAAATCTCAAAAAATTCCTGCTAATCTATCGGAAATTACCAAAAAAATAGCTTCCAGTTTACCGAAATTCCTCAAGTATCTCGGCTAGATTGCCCTAAATCAAGCAAAAGAAATTAATTTTTCAAAATACATTAATTAATTGTGAATTAAAAAATTCAAAAAAATTTTTTGCTAGATCAATTAAATTCTCAAGAATCTTTGCCAGATCGCCCGTCAAATCCCCCAAATAATCCCTGCTAGCCTGCCCCGTCACGTTCCCTTTGAAACGACAGTATACCTGGGCTATTCCTCGCCGCAACCGGGGGTACAGGTGTAGATGTGCTGCTTCGTGGATTATTCGGCGTGGTCGGCTTGACGATTCGCGTATCAACGGCGAATAGCGGGGGAAGGGCTTTCAATTCGCCTTTCGTCTTCACCCGGGGACGGTCGACGCTCTGAAAACGAAACGGTTACGCCATTAAATTATTTACAAAAAACCCTTAAAATTAATTAAAAAAATTTTGAATCGATCACGCAATGAAATTTGTCATTTCCAGCCAATTTCGGTCCGAAAATAGTGGTTTCTACTTGATTTTTGGGCTTAAATCCGCGTTTTCAAATAGCTTGCGCTATGAAATTCGCATTTCCGAATCGATTACGCCTCAAAAACGCGCGATCTTAAACGAATGCGCTATGAAATTCGCGTTTTCTAATCGATTATGCTATAAAATTGGCAGTTATCAATCGATTACGCTACAAAAAGCATGGTTTTTAACCGAATAAGCTACAAAAAAAAACATGATTTTTAATCGATTACGCTAGGAAATTCGCGTTTTCTAGTCGATTACGCTATGATATTCGCATCTCTGAATCGACCACGCTACAAAATCTGTGAGTTCGCATCGATTACGCAATGAAATCCACGTCTCGGACTTCTTTAAGCAACGAAATCGGCATTTTCAATAGATTACGCTACGCAATTCGCAGATTTGAATAAGTTACGCCACGAAATTCGCATTTCTGAATATATTCCGCAACAAAAATCCGGGCTTCGAATCGATTACGCGGTGAAATGCGCGATTTTTCATCGATTACGCGTTTTATTCGGCAGTTTTGAGCAGAAACACGCTGAAATCGGCTATTTTTGAATCGATTACGACATGAAATTCGCGTTTTTTGGCCAATTATGCTATGAAAAACACTGTTTTTGATGGATTACGTCACCAAATTCCTGTAACCCTTCAAAAAAAACCCTCAAAAACGTACCCGATCAATATGCTTGGGCTGGACGACGCCCATTCCGGAAGAGGGCCTCGAAGTGGAGGAGGACTCGGCAGCAGCTGTCGTGGATACGGTAGATGTGGAGGGGACAGGGCTGGAATACGGTAGATTATGGTGGGTGGCGGTAGAATGGGGTAGGGGAGGGGATACGGTATCGTCTAGTACGAGACGATAGAATAGACGACGATCAACACCATCCAAGAAGAATACGGCCACGATCAGGGGAAGGGGAGAGGCTGCAAAGGACATTAGGGAAACGGAGAGAGGGGAGAGAGAGAGAGTGAGAGAGAGAGAGAGAGAGTGAGAGAGAGCGCGAGATGGAGAGAAGCTAGCAAATTTTCTTTAGGAATTCCCCTAAAATCCACCAAAAATCAGAAATTTCCAGGCAACGTCGGGCAAGCTAGCAGAGAGTCTTGCGGAAGGCATAGAACCCCAGAACTCCCGGAAAATCGCCAAAATCTCGACCAGCTAGCAGAGATTCTTGGGGAATATTACCAAACTTCGCAAAAACGGCTAGCGACTTCTCGAGCGGTGCGCTGGAACTAGCAGAGTTTCCTGGGGAAACCTAGGCGCCGGCCAGCTAGCAGGGATTTTTTAGGAAAATGGGGCGTCAGGGAGCACGAAAAAAACGCGGAAATTCCGGGTGAGCCAGCAGAGATTTTTGCCAAAATGCCACAAAAAGAATCTGAGCAATAGCAGAGACCCTTGCGGAAATAGCCCAATTTCCAGGGAGCTAGTAGAGATTTTCTTGAAAATCAGGATCTTCTAAAAATCGTCAAACTGGATGGCGAGCTAGCAGAGATTCTTTGTGATCCAACGGACAGAGAGAGAGAGAGAGAGAGAGAGAGAGAAAACTAGAAAAACAAGCATTTTTTACCATTAACAATTTTCTAAAAGTATCCAAACAGCTGGACCCCGGCAAAAATCCATCCAAAAAAAGCGGCAGATCCCGTGCTATCTTAGAGGGGGATCAGGGTGCGTGCGTGTATCTTTCTTCTTCCTTCCCTGTATTACTTGGCCCGTCGCGCATATCAGAGAGAGAGAGAGAGAGAGAGAGAGAGAGAGAGAGAGAGAGGGAGGGAGAGAGGATGGATATCGATGGATAGATGGTGATAGATATCAATATATGATAGCACTGTCCCCCCTCAACCCCCTTCCCATTGCAATCACTAACATCTGTGGACACACAGGTGTAACATCTAGGGGCCTTGGATTGACCGAGGGGGCAGGCTAGCAGGGATTCTTCGGGAATTTGGGAAGATCTGGCAAGCTAGCAGAGATTATTTAGGGAATCGGGGCAGACTAGCAGAGATTCGTTGAGGAATTATTCGCCATTTCGCCAGTAGATACTCTCTAGGAAAATATGGCCAGCTAGCAGGGATCCTTGGGGAAATTGGCAAAAGAAGCAGAATCCTTTAAGAAATGGTGCAGACTAGCAGGGATTTCTCGGGAATTTGAGAAGAACTGGCAAGCCAGCAGAGATTCTTGGGGAATCGGGTAGTGGTGCCCCAGACTTTTTCTTTAAGTTTCTAACCTTCAAAAAAGAGTCAGCCAGCAGGGATTATTGGGGAATTTTGGCGCTTGGCAGACTAGCAGAGGCTCTTTGCGGAATCTGGGGAAACCTGAATGGTTAGCAGTGATTATTCGGGAACGGGCGATTAGCGCGAAAATGGAGGAAACTTGCAGAAATTCTTGGGGAAGTGCGGGCAGGCTAGCAGAGACCATCTAGAAAATAGGGGGAAGGGCCCGGGGGAAAACAACCCGGGGTTTTTGGGGAATTTAAAAAAGGCAGAAATCATTTCGGACATCAATAAATGCCTGGGCAAGCTAGCAGAGGCCATTTAGGAAGGTCGGTTCGTTGAATGAAACGTTCTAGAAACGGGCACGATGCCAGGATGAGAATTAAATGGAAGCAGGGGGGCATCTCCCGGGCAACAGCCTCTACAGAGTGCCTGATCCTGCTCCCTCTGTTTTCAGGGATTTCACAATCTACTGCCGGATTAGGCGCCCCGGCCAAGATTACAGCAGGCCAATTTCAAGTGGTGAATTTCTGGTAAAAGAGGGTGGGCAGGCTGGCAGAGAAAATTTGGGAAAAAAACGTCGCCGTAGGGCGTGACAGGCTAGCAGAGATGCTTTCGGGAATTCAGTCACGTTGGGCAAGCTAGCAGCCAAGACTTAGGATTTTTTGCCTTTCAGGGCCGGAGATTCGCAAACAGGAAAAGGGGCAGGCTAGCGGAGACGATTTTCGAGGTACATTCCAGAGGTGGCTAGCAGAGGTCATTGGTGGAAAAGATCCAGCGAATCCGAATAGCTAGGGCAGGTTAGCAGAGATCATTTAAGAGGGCTTAAGTGCAGTTCCCCCCAGGCCAGCTCCTCAGCCATACGTCCTATGAATGCGCCGAGTATCTCAAAATGTTTGCCGTGGTCGAAAACCTCTAAAAAAGTTGTTTACTTGCGCCAAAAATTTTTAAAAAATTTTTTAGAAGATTTTGAAAGTTGAAAAGATTAAGCCGCTATGCTTCGATGTACTAGGAGTCAAAAACTCAAATATTTTTATTTTCCGCTATTTTTTTGGCTCAAACGTACTGTAGGCTTATTCTCCGAGCAAGAGCTACATTTTGGGACCATTGACAGCTCTGTGCGTCAAAAGATAGCCGAGATACGAAAACTCACTTTGGAACAGCAAAAATTAACTAAAGAAAACCCAGACTTATAATCATTATAAAAATTTTTCTAACAATTTTTGATGTAAGAAAACAACTTGGCTATAGTAATTCGACCACGGTGAACATTTTGAGATACTCAGCGCATTAATAGGACGTATGGCTGAGGAGCTAGGCTGGGGAGGGGGGGTAAACTGCACTCTAACCTTTAAGAGTTTGGCGACGTGCCAAGGCAGTGGCCAAATCGGTTGGTGGGTCAGAGAGAATACACGAGATTTGTATTCAAAAACCTATTCGGCAACTTGACGACTAGGGGGCCCGAGATGGAATTTGAGGAAGGCAATATGCAGCGTATGCCTATCCACCGGCCAGCTGAATTAATTCGCGTCCTGCATTTAATTCTACGGCGTATTGGCCGTATTGCCGCCGGGACCAGCTTCTTCAAAGGGGGCAGAAACGAGCTAAAAATACTTTTACATGGGAAAAAAGGAAAAATTTTGATGTTGGTGTCGAAAATTCTAAAGTACATTGTCAAGCTTTTCTGTTCTTTTGGCCCAGCTAGAAGAATTAAAGGGACCGGGAAGCGTGGAAATTGGTCGAAGAGCTAAAAGGCTAAAAATACCGACGATTCTAATCGATTACGGCATTAAATTTTCGAGAAAAATTTCACTAGAGCTTCGACGTCTCTCACAATTTGAAAAAATATTCTTGAATTTCGAGGTTTCAGGGGAGAAAATTGGGGGGAATAATTATGGGCCGGCTGGGCGGTTCAGGAATTCAGCTGCTCCTCAATGTCTCGTGTAGGGGATGGATACAGGCAATGACACCGTATCCCATGGCAACCACTTAGAGGGCAAATGTCTAGAAATAGAGAGAGAGAGAGAGAGAGAGAGAGAGAGAGAGAGAGAGAGACAGGACCGCTAATCGGCGAGCGAATAGAGGGCGAAAAGCCGCGAATTACACCCAACTCGTAATTATCTAAATGTCCCTGGAGGGGCGAAAGCCAGAGAGAGAGAGAGAGAGTGAGAGTGAGGGAGAGAGAGCTATCGTAACCCTAGGCGCCAAAAGTCAGGGCTAATCACCGAGGCCAGGTGGCCAAATTCCAGACCTTCGTACTAGTGTTGAATTATTATAGGAAGAGAGAGAAAGAGAGAGAGAGCGAGAGAGAGAGACGCAGAGAGCGTACCAGACGTACCGTATCCCAAAAAAAACTCCAGAAAATTAATTGATACCTCTCCTGGGCGATGGGCTTGATGCGGATCTTCAGCGGCTCCTGGCCGGGCGTTCCAGCACCCTGAAAAAAAGTTCAAATTAAAAATTCTAAACGAAATTAAAAGGCTAAATTTAAATTACTAAACAAAATTAAAATTTTAACCTTAAAAGCCCACAAAAATTTTTAAAAGGACCGGCAAAACATTTCTAGGGATTCGCCATAAAAAATTTTTCCGCGACGCGACGCGCACACCCCGCCCCCTTTCCATCGCCTAATCGGCAACGACAACTTCAAGAAGGTCAAGCGCGGCGTGCGCGCTGCGTGTAAACGATTTGGCAAAATTCATAGAGCCTTGCCGGGCCCTTTAAAACGCAAAATACCGTACCCTTGCTGGTGTCGTTGACGGATCAGAAGACGTTGAGGGGCTGAGGAGCTTGATCTTTATTGGGGGCAACTTGTCGATGCTCTTCACGTGGCCGTTCTCCTTGTCTCGGCGCTCCTTCTTCGCCTCTTTCTCGGCCTGGAAAGAAAAAATAAAAAGGCAAAGGACAAAAAATTAAAAAGTACAAAATTTTTTGGTTCTTTTCTATTATCGGGGGGGCATCCTTTTACTAAGAGTTCAAATTTCCAATAAAATAGAGTAAATTTTCTAAAGTTTTTTCCTAAAGGTATAAACTTTACAAATTTTGAATGAAAACAAAAAAATAGCCATTTTTCGACCAAAATGTCATCTAAAATATTTTTCCAAGTTTTTTTTTTGGTTTTTTCCACTTGAAAAATAGCTAAATTTTACTAAAAACACTATTAAAATACTTATAATTATGTCACTAGGCCGTTCGGGACTTACAGAGAAAATTCTATCTCCCCCCCGATAATGCCAAAGAACCAATTTTTATACCTGTCTATCCCTGGATCGATCCCTGTGCTTCTCTCGATCCCTCTCCCTGTCTCGATCTCGATGCTTCTCCTTGTCCTTCTTCTTCTTCTTTTTCCGCTCTCTGTCTCTATCCCTGTCTCGGCTTCTGTCCCTCCTTCTCTGTCTCTCTCCTTCTTCCCTCTCTCTCCCTCTGTCTCTCGATCTCTCCTCGGTTCCATCAGAATCTTCAGCTTAGGGACAGTGCTGTCGGGAGGTCGAGCAGGGGAGTCTTTCATCGAGATGTTCAGCGGGAACGTCGTCTAAATTAATCTATTATTAAAATTTCGCCAACATACGATTTTTTAAACCCCGTTATTATTTCTTTTTGAAAATTACCAAAATTGGCAGAAATTCAAATGTTAATTTCGCCTAAAACTTAAAAAATTATGCATTTATGTAAGCAAGTCGCTTCAAATTTTTTGCTGGAATTTAAAACGTTTAAAAAGCTAATTATTAAAATCTATAAAATACCTGATTTTAAAGAGCTAGGAAAATTATAAAAATTCGCAAAATTTATTTTAATATTTTAATTTAAAAAATCGTAGAATTCATTGTTTAAAAAATTTATTGACATTCAAAACGTTCAAAAAGCACATCATTAAGATTTAGGCAGAAAAAAGATGACTTTAAAAATGAAGAAAAACTATGAAAATTTGTAGATTAACTTTTCTAATCTTTAAAAGCGTAAAAAATCAAAAGCGCTTGTTTATAGTTTATAATTTTCGAATACAAAAACTTGCCGGCATATCGCCAATGGGTAGATCGCCGCCGTCGGTGAGCATCGGGATCGTCGCGTCCGAGTCGTACTCCTCTTTTTCTGCAAAAAAAAAAGATAAAATTGACTACCAAAATTCAAAACAAAAAAGCACTTTCTACTACCCCCCGCTAACAGAACAGCTCCAAAACCCGAAATAAAACTCACTCAATGGAGGAAGATCCGCAGGTCGGGGTGGAGTGGCACGGGCTGCCGATTCGGCCACTAAAAAAAGAAGAATTATTGATAGTTTTCTAAAAAATTCAGAACCCAGAATTTCCCAAAGCGCCACTGCTAGTATTATCAAAATAATAAAAATTTTAAGCGTTTTTGAATTTTTCGCCAAAAATGTATGAAAAATGACCAAAATGGGCAAAATTCCCCAAATTTTGCTCTTTTTTTTGCCCCAAAAGTATTTTTTTGTACCACTTTCTAGCAATACAAAGCTTGGATCCTAAAAACTATAAAAATACATAATATATCATCAACAGGTTAAGTATAGGTGCAAAAAAAGTGCTTCCAGCCTGCCCCCCGCTAACAGCTCAGAACCGTCTTGCCTTTTCCTAAAAAACCGCTGCACGGTTCCGCAAATTCTCTCTGCTAGCCTGCCCAGCCTCCAAAAACCGCTAAAAACGTACCCGGAAACGACGTCGACGGGCTGCATCCCAGCCGAATCTTCAGTTTCGGCACAGAAGCGGGTGATACAGCCGGATGAAGGGGTGATGGGATGGTGTCTCTTTCTCTCTCCCTTTCTCTCGTCCCTCCTCTTTTCTCTTCTCTCTCCTGTCGTCTCAATTCAGCTACCGTAGTCGCCGGCTCGAGTTTCGGCGGCTCTTCGCGTATCTCACGATTTGTCGAGGAGCTGCTGCCCGGCCGCTGGTGGTGTGTCCAACTGCAAAAATTAAATTTTTTAACTTAGAAAAAATCAAGTTTTTTACTTTTTAAAGGCACCCGGAAGCCTGAATTTAGGCAACGCCGATTTTTCGGCAATTTTCTAAGTAAAAAACCATTGGAAAACGCCGAAAATGAATTTTAAAGGCACCCGGAAGCCAGGAATTAGGCCACGCCCCTCTTATCAGCTCTGAAAAAAATCAAAAATGTATTAAAATCGCCTAAAATGAATTTTAAAGGCACCCGGAAGCGAGGGATTAGGCCACGCCCATTTTAGCAGTTCTCAAAAAACCCCAAAAAGTTCGCTAATATTATAAAAATCGCATTTCCGCATCGGATTTTCGGTCAGAAAAGGGCCGATTTTATCGATTACGCCATGAAACGCAGCGTTTCCTGGTCCCTTAAAAAAAAATAAAAAAAACTATACGAACCTTTTGTCCTTTTTCGTCTTGTCCTTCTTCTCCTTTTTGGGCTTTGGCTGTGAGACGGGGAGGACCGGCGGCGGCTCGTCACATGGCCTGAAAAAAATCGGGTTAACTAATCGCTGAAATATCGATAATTCTTTTAATTTTTGAATTAATACTTTAATGAGCATTTTTTAAGAATAACTTTTTTACAATTTAGAGCTTTTTTGCTGTATAAATTTAATGATTTAACGGTATTTTTCAACCCACTCCTCGTAGCGATACGGCGGCGTCGGGGCGTTCCGATCCGGGAAATACGTGTTCCTGAAATTATTTTGGTTTTATTGATTTTTACGTGTTTTTTAAACCAATTTTTAAATCTTATTTTTTTAAATGGCCGGCTCTGGTGAGTTTATAAAAAATTTTTTATCATTTTAAAACCAAAAACACCGGCGCAGCAACCGATTACGCTAGGTAATTCGTTCAAAAACAGCCTGACGGTCGATCTAATTTTAAATATACTTTATTCTTTTTTATTTAAATATTTTTCACTTACCGTAGCCCAAATTTTATATATTTTTGACTTTGATTTTATCTATTAAAAAAGTAGATTTTCACGAAATTCTTCGCTTTTGCGAATTTCGACATTTACGCGAATTTTTACGTTGTTTTTCTTCCCTTAAAAGGTCCAGAAATTCCCGAAAACGTACAGCAACTGCGGGACGATCTCCTCGGGCAGAAGGGCGGGCATTTGATGGATCTCCTTCAGCAGATTGCTCGCATTCGGGATGAGGGCGGCCAGGGCAGCGGCTGCAGCAGCTGTAGATGATGAAGCCGCAGTCCCATTGCTGTTGTTGATGATATTTGGTGGGTGTTGGGAGACGAGGGGGCTGACCGGTCGCTTCTTCTCCAGCTTCTTCAGCCGGTTCACCGACAGCTTCGGGGGGCCGTTCTGAAAATAGGGAAATTTATAGGGAAAATGACATTTTGAAGCGCTAAAAAATTCCCAAAATTCCCAAAAAATCACTGCTAGCTTGCCGTTTAAGAAACCTCCCAATTCCTCAAGAATCTCTGCTAGATGGCCGAATTTAAGAAACAAAATAGATATATGTGCAGATAAATTTTATCAAATCTTTCCCTAGGGATCTCTGCTAGTTTGCCGGACCTCCAAAATTTCCCGGGTTGCCCAAAAATCTCTGCTATGTCCCCAGGGAAAAAAGTTTCAAAGAAGCGCATATTTGCCAGCTTTCCGAAATAAACTCTGCTAGGTTGCCTAGTTTCCAGAAACCTATTGCTTGCCCAAAGGTCTTTGCCAGCTTGCCCGGACAAAAAACGCCTAGGTTTCTCAAAGAATCTCTGCTATGCCTAGCTTTGGCCCAAAAATTCCGCAATTTTCTCATTTCCAAAATTTCCTCAATCTCTGCTAGTCCCCTTCGAATCCATAATTTTCTCTGCTAGCTTGCCTAGTCCCAAAAAAGCTCAAAATCTCTACCTCCATCTCCTTGAGATTGGGGCTGCTGTCGTACTTCTTGCCGCCCATCCCCGACGTTGACGGGGCCGGCGAGCTGGGTGAGTGTGGAGGGACAGGACTCGAACGGGCCGATTTCACGCCCGAGGTGTGGTTGTTCTAAAAAACGTATTTTGCAGGGATTTTTAGAAAATCTGGCTTTTCGACGACCTTGACAATCCAAAAAAACGTACAATGAGATCGCGGGCCTTGCCCTTCTTCGGCGTGCTGCTGCTCGGTATCGGGCTCTGCCGCCGACGGATGGCTTTGTCTGAAAAAAAATCGTTTTTTAGCGATTTTGAGAGCTAAAAAAAATAGGGAAGAGGAAAAGCTGGAGAGGGTAGCAAAAAATGCCCAAAAAATCGGATTTATTTCGTTTCGGGTCGAATTTCGATTCAGGCAGGCTAGCAGGGATTCCTTAGGATACAGAAAAAATCCCCGAAAATCGATCTCGGCTTTTTCGAAACCCTAAAAATGCCCAAAATTTTTTGTTTATCACCGGATTTGAAGCGCAATCAGGCTATTAGCAGAATCGAGACCCAGAGCAGGCTAGCAGGGAATCTTTAGGATACGGAAACACGCCGGGGAGAGACTTCTTCGAAACCCCTAAAAAACGTTTTCAAAAAACCCTAAAACAGCTCCAAAAATGTCCTTCGTTTTGCCTTTGCCCGATTTCAAGCGAAATTAGCCTAATTTCCAACCAGGCAGGCTAGCCGAGATTCCTGGGGATCGAGAAAACGCCCGGCAAGGAATTGGCCACCCCGGAATCCAAAAAATTCGCGAAAAACCCACCAAATCGCGACACGACATTCGTCTGGCTCTTCGACGCGACGCCGAGCGAGATGGTGTCGCAGGTGGAGAAGTCCCAGAGATCGTCATGGCCCTCCTTTTTCTCGGCCACAGATTGTGAGGAGGGCTGAGGCTTGGCGGGGCTGGGTGTGGCGAGGGGTGGTGGCGGGAGAACGGACGGCAATGGCGTGCTGGTCGATGGGCGATTCACGTCTGAAAATTGAGCGGTAGAAATTTCGTAAAATTAACTTTTTCAAAAAGCAAAAACTAAAGCCAAAAATTCCGAGAAGCCGGGAAAAATTTAATTGACCAAATGAGCGTTAGAAACTGGTTAAAAAGCCCAAAAAGCCCAAAATTCAGGCAAAAAAAAAGCATTTTTTAATCTTCGGGCTTTTTGAGGCAAATCTGGGTTTTAAAGGGCCAAGCAATGCATTTTCATCGATTTTCGGCTATGGATTGCCCAGATATTTTTGTCGGGCGGCGACACGCAACGCGCTTTAAAACGGGCGTAATCGATTACGCAATGGAAAACGGTGCACGCGTCACGCTTCGCGGAATGGAAAAATCTTGGGATAAACGCGTACGGAACCGCCTTTTCATTGCGTAATCGATTACGACACTTTTCCGGGCCCTTTAAACGGCCAAATACGCTAAAATAGCCTACCATTAGCATTTGTATCATGATGAAGCGAGGGTAAACACGGCAAAATTGGGCCCTGGTCGGCCCTCCTCTGCTCGATCTCCTTCTCCGAGGGGCACGTCATCGAGATCGAGCAGTGCTGGGGAAGGTAGGTCGGCAGCTTGGGCATTGGCTGAAAAATAATGGTAAAAAGGGCCCAAAAGCCATTAAACTTATATTAAATCAAAAAATTTTATATTCGCGGGTCAAAAATCTTCATTTTTTAAATCGTAAGCGTCTAAATCGGCCATAAAATTCTAGCAAAATGATTTTTATAATTGTTTTTTATCAATTTTAGCTCAATTTGAAGTAAAAAACGGTGCGAAAAATCCAGAAATATGCACAAAAAGGCCGAATTTTCGCAATTTTAGGCCGGAAAAACTGGTTTTCCAGCCTAAAAACGACTTTGAACTGAAAATTTCGACAGGAAAAACGTACCCGCTGCTCGAAGCTGACGGGGATGGTGGCGCCGCGCTGCGTTGAGAGATCGACGCGAACCTGGAAAAAGCGTTATAAAAATCTAAATTAAACTAGAACGAGCGAGAGAGAGAGAGATAGAGAGAGAGAGAGAGAGAGAGAGAGAGAGACGAGAGAGAGAGTGAAATTACCTTCGTCATATACTCGTGCAAATCGGTCCCATGAATGTTCAGCCGCCCCATCGCGCACTGCACGTCCTCCGGATCACAAAGCGTACGGCCTCCTAAAAAACCTATTTTTCAAAATATAATTCTAATTGTTACCATGCTCCATGAACAGCTTCGACTCGACGCACAGCCGCTCGATATACCTCCGCGACAGGTCGGCCAACGCGTTCAGCGAGTCCCGGGAAACCGTCTGAAAATCGGAAATACCTTTTTTGCATCGAAATTGCGATTTTTCTCGATTTTTAAGATATCTAAAGCTAATTTCAACGTTTTTGTAGGCGACTAAAACTCTAAAAATCGACTAAAAATCACGAAAAAGGCCTAAAAGAATTTCAGCTTTGTAAAAATATGTAAAAAGAACTAGAAAAGTAAAATTTCAAGTTTCTATAGTTTCTAAGCTATTTCTATCGTAAAAACGGTCAGAAAACTGAAAAAAATCCGTCAGTTTTTAGACAAACCTAACGGAATGTTCTAAATTATCCAAATTAACTCAGAAAACCATAAATTTGGGGATTTTTCGCGCAAAACCCACCGTAAAATTGAAAATATCGAGCACACGGGCCGTACTCCTCGCCATCATCTGCATCGCGTAGGCCTCGGTGGATGACATTTGGGACGTGTAGGCGGCCTGGAAATAGCGTTTTTTTACGAGCTTTTTTGAGGTAAAAAGACTGATAATGAGCGTATTTAGGCGCTTTTTTGGAATTTTTTTTCGATCTGAGAGCTGTTGCTCATTCGATAGAGCTTAAAATTCTGGGCAATTTTAGTCCAGAAATGCCAGACGATGACATCTTTAATAGTTTAGTAAAATTATCATAGTCAAGTAGAAAAACGCTTAGAAAAAATTTAGGTGAACTTTTAGCCGAAAATCGCCATTTTTTGTATATTAACCAAAATTTGTAAAGTTCTTACGCTTAGGAAAAGTAAAAAAAACAGTTAAAACACGTCCTCTATTTCTATTAGAAACATTTGCCCCCTTAGATCCCGCGAAAGAACCTTTTTTGAAGTTTTTGAAAGCTAATTTTTGTTCAAAATTTCAAGCTCGATCGAATGAGCTAGATTTTTTACATCGGAAGACTGAAAAAAGTGCCTAAACCACCATTTTGGTCAGATCAGAAGCATACCTGTTGTCCGATAGCCGTCATTGTAGAGGACATTGAGTGGGCAGTAGATGGGTGTTGAAGCGGAAGGGGATTGTTGATGGCCGAAGAAGAAGAGGGCCCAGGAGGAGGAGGGCATTGGCCCTGTGATGCTGATGATGATTGTGAAGATAGGGCTGTTGATGGGACCATCATGCCAGATGTCGAGGCGGCCATCCCCGCACTACAAAACACATCAAGGCCCGGGCCAAACGGAGCTGCGGCTCGCAGGGTGCCTGCAAAAGTGGTCGATAATTATTTTAGTCATTTTGGGAAAATACCAGAGAACTATAGAAATGTAAAAAAAACAGCTCTAAAGGGTTTTATAGCCTCCCGGGAGCTCGGAAAAGCTTGAAATGCCCATTTTTAAGCGTTTTTGAAACTCTGTTGTTCGAAAATCTCCTAGAAACTCGAGGAAAGCATAAAACATGCTATAAACGGTTTAAACGTCTCAAAAACCTCATCACGACCTTTAGAAAACTAAAATCCTAGAAAAACGATGCTGAAAGAACGCCAGGGCCATTGATGAACCATCTAAAACGCGGTCAGCCGAATCCATGCTCAAAAAAACGGCTTAAAAACTGCAGAAAAAAAGTATCTAAAGCCTAAACCAACCCGGAAAAACTTAGTGTCGAAATGGAAAATGTGAGAACGTGAAAAACTACTTCCGGAAAAACCCCCTAGCAACGCAGTGGAAGCATCAAAATAGGAAAAAGAACCGTTTTTGAAAAAAATGCAAGAAACTCGTTTTTTTTGCGAAAAATAGAAAAACACGGTCCAATCCCTTTAAAATCGAATTGTAAAAAACTAGGCAAAAAGCCCTTATTTTTCTCAATTTCAGCGGGACGAGTTTGCGTCTAAAAGTGACCGATTTCGCTATGAAAAGAGATGGGTATCATATCGATTGTGCCGCTTATTAATGCGAGAAAACGACGAAAAACGAGAGAGGGAAAAGATTAGCAAGAAAAGCGTTTTAGAACTTTCGAAATGGGTTGCAAAACTTAATGATTTTACAGAAATAAGGGCAGGAGAGGCTTGCCTTCAGAAACTCAAAGGGGTGGACACCTAAATTTTCGTTGTGGCTAGCCAAGCGAGTTTTTCTAAAAAGTCATAAAAACTTCTGAGGCATCAAAATGAGCCTGAAAATCAAGAAAACATCGCCAAGTCGATTGGCCGCTATAAATTAGCGCTTATTGTAGTACTTTTCAAGCTTCCAGACCCCTAAAAACCCCGAAAACCTGCCAAAAATCCGACTGAATAAGTTATCGCCCGACAATTGGGTCACGGCCATAAAAACTAGGGCAATCGTGGGGGGCCTGGAATCGAGGTGAAGCTCAAAAAGCGCAAGTTCATTCGAGTTGTCGCTCAAAATCCATCCCTTCAGCTTTTCCTAAATTTTTAGGGGCCCAATTCCGGGGTCCTCATTGAGGCCTGGCCCCGGGGCGTCCAAATCGGCAAACAGGGCCACCGGGGGCTACACGACACGCCTAACGACACGCGAATCGTGTGCCCGCTTTGCGATCGGGGAGCTGCCGGGCTGGGCCCTCTCAATTTGCGGTGTTCTCTCGCCCGACTCTCGCCTCGCCACCCGTTCCGTTGGCCGAGAATTGGGACAGCCGAGGAGAGCCACTACCACCACAGCCACACACTCCCTCACACACACAACCAAAGCCCCCCTTCTCCTACCACCCCGGGAAAACAGGTCTCCACCCCTAGCAGCAGGGGGACGAACAGTCTCGATACAACGGCCAAGCCACGCCTCCCGGTGGGAGAACAGTCTCCAACAACACGGTGCTTATCAACGCTTTTTGGCGCGTTCGGCTGCAGCGATTTTGGGCTTGTTTTTGTAGTATTTTTCTAGCAGACTACTAAACCCGAAATTCCCTAAAATACGAGAAAATCGCCCGAAAATTTCGGTCCAAAATTTTTTAAAACTCCTCTGCCAGCCCGTGCAACTCGATAGCGCCGTACTGAAGGTGTTTTTTAGTTTTTCTTTCCCGGTCAATTTCGGCTCTAAACTCTTTCAGAAGTCTTTGATTAGAAAGAGCTACTCAAAAACTTCAATAACCACGTGTTTTTCAAGGCTTTTTGATGCAATTTCAATGTAATTAGCCTAGCAAATCTTTGAAAAAAGGTGTATAAATTCGCCAGAAACCCATTTTTTGCTATTCTACCTTCTCGCTGTCGATTGGCTTTAATTTGAAGCTCTAAAAGGCTACTTTTCGAGAGCTCCGACTGTTTGGACAAAAAAATCGCTGAATTGCGGTGTTTTTGAACCGAAAAACTCTGGAAAATCCATTTCCGGCGCCATTCTTCGTATTTTCTTTATGCTCTTGCCATTTTTCGTCGTAAATTAGCTTCTATTTCCTCTTTATTTTCAGTGGTCTGAATGCTGGGGCGTGCCCGGCTCCCGATTGCCACTTTCTCGAGGGCCTCCCTTTTTGCCCGTCAGATTCTGTATGTTTTCTTTTCTTTCTTTTTTTTTTGTACTGATCTTATAGTCTATTAAATACTATTTTCCAGGCTCATCCCTCAACTTCAACGAGTTCGCGCGATGGCCACCGAGGTGGAGAAGGCGCAGACGGCGCAAAAGGGCGGCGACACGCTGTTTGGGAAGATCATCAGGAAGGAGATTCCCGCCAAGATCATCTACGAGGACGATGATGTCTGTTTTTTTACATAGAAACCTTCAGAATATCGAGAAATATTGGTCGGAAATTTCCAAAGTACTTTTTTTTGGTTTTTAGCTTTTTTTTAGGCGTGAAAATCGGTATTTTTGGTGCTTGCGTATTTTTTGTGCGCGTAAACTAGCAAAGATTCTTTAGGAAGTAGGGGCAGGCTAGCACAAATCTTTGAGGATTTTAGACCCTTTTCACGTGATTTTATCCCATTTTTCAGGTTCTCGCGTTCCACGACGTCTCCCCGCAAGCGCCGGTCCATTTCCTCGTCATCCCCAAGAAGCATATCCCGAGTCTCGAGGACGCTGAGGACAAGGTATCGATTTTGATGGATTTCAGCTTAATCTGCTTTTTTAGGATGAAGCCCTCCTCGGCAAGCTGCTCCTCACCGCTCGTCGCGTGGCCAAGGAGCTGAAGCTCGACAACGGATATCGCACGGTAATTTTTTTTAAGCTTTTTCGAATTTGTTGCATTTGATGGCGTAATCGAATCCGTGCGCGTAGTTTTTCCGCTTCACCGTCGATTCAGCCCTATTTTGATAGCGTAATCGGTTGAAAATCGTCTTTTAATCGCTAAATTAGGGAACTGTAAAGGCAAACTAGCAGAGATTCCTGGGGAAATTCTGGCCGATTTTTCTGGAAGGTCTGGGGATCTAGCAAAGAAGCTTTGAGGAATTTTTAGACGAGCGGGCGAGCTTGCAGAAATTCTTTAGGAAGTTTCCAATTCTCGACCCGGTGAAGGCTAGCAAGGATTATTTAGGAATTTGAGAGGCTGGCTGGCAGGCTAGCAGAGATTTTTGAGGAAATTCCAGACGCGGGGCACCCTTGCAGACAACATAAGGGAATTTCCGGGCGCACGCGGGCCATCTAGCAGAGAATTTTAGGAACTCTGAGAGGCTTTGAGTGGCGGGCAGGCTAGCAAAAATCCTTTAGGAAATTTCAGGCGCTCTCGGGACGCGGGCAGGCTAGCAGTGAACCTGTAGGATCTTTAAGGGGCCAGCAAGCCAGCAGAGAATCTTGCGGAACTGTCGCGTCACCTTTAATCCCATTATTTTCTTCTTTTTTTTCAGGTAATCAACAACGGGAAAGACGGTTGCCAGTCGGTGTTCCACATCCATCTACATGTCCTCGGCGGTCGTCAGCTGCAATGGCCACCCGGATAAGCCACGCCCCCTTTCTACAGTACCCCACCGTACTCTACCGTATCCTCTCGTACGTTTTGTTAAGTTTTTTTTGGCTCTCTGGGCCTTCTCATCTGATTCCGGTATCTAATTTCGCTGGTCAAATTTCTCTCGCCGTCCGGTTTTTCCGTGTTTTTTTTTGCGTGAATAAATTGTATTTATATAGATTTATTAAAATTAATACAAAATAACGCATTTAATAGGAATATAAAAAATTTTAAAATTTTACAAGATTTGGTAAAGAATTTTTTTTGCGTCAAAAAATCAGTAGAAGATCACAGGGCGCGCGACACGTCGGGGAAGGTCGGGGAGAAAAAGGGAAAAATAACACGCGGATATTTAAAAAAATATTTACAAGCTATAGACTACGAACTACAGCCTACGAAACGCTGTTTTGTACGTTTTTTTTTGGGGATACCGTACTGTAGACGGAAATCTATAGGCTACGGTAGTTCAGAGAAATTTAACGATTTTAAAGGGGCGGCGACAGGCAAAAGATTGGCATTGACAGCTGAAAATTGGCCATATTTGTACGCGGTATTCCAAATTACGAAAACCAGTTGTTTTCGGCCGTTTTTTGCGTTTTCAAGGGGCGTGGACAGTCGAAATCCACGATTCTGTACGTTACAATGCAATTGACAGAACTACGATGGTTTTGGGCGGGATTTAGTGCGTTAAAGGGGCAGTGACAGCTAGCCTTCGCTACCATTTGATGAGTTTGACGAGCCAATGCCTCGGATGCCGCCGGATCAGGAATTTTCGCAACTCGTTGAAGACGAGCAGGTACAAGCCGACGAACGGCGCGAACGCCCACACGAATCTGCAATTTGGTGGCGTAATCGGATGTGTAGGCGGGATTTTGATGGCGTAATCGTTGGGCAAATGATCTCCGCTGGGTTGCCCTCGCGAGAGGGAATTGATTTTTAAAGGGACAGTGACAGCTAGGCGTTGAAAATCGTACCCCGGTGGTGATCGGATATCCATGACGTATTGGGCGGCTGGCGTGTAGACGAACATGATCAGCATTAGCACCTGGAAATCGGGGGTTTCTCAAATGATCTCCGCTAGCCTGTCCCATTTCCTCTAAGAACCTCCGCTAGCCTGCCACCCACCTCGATGATGACGGCAAAGAAGGAGACGACATTCGTGATTCCGTGACGAAAAACGGAGACTCGGCGCGTCGTACAGTTGCACAGATGGAATACCTGGGGGTTTCATCGATTACGGCGGGTTAGTTTGGAGTTTTTTGATGTCACTCTCCCTTTAAACGCTTTTAAAGGGAGTATGACACCTGGAATTTGACCAGAGCGTTATAATTTGATGCTAAATGGCACAATCTCTCTAAAACTACGATGCCTGGCTCATGACGAGTGTAATTTGCCAAGCGGCTGCCGCCTGTCCCTTGATATGTAGCTGTTGCTCCTCGGTGTAGGTCACGTTTTGGAAGGCGTCACCGATCGTGAGATTTGCCGCACCGATCTGGAAGGATAATTTTCGGTTGTCTCTCTCTCACTCTCTGTCTCTCCATCTAGCTCTCACTCTATCTATCAATCTCTCTCGCTCTCTCTCGCCTCTCTCTCTCTCTCTCTCTCTCTCTCTCTCTCTCTCCCTCCCTCTCTCGCTCTCTCCCACCCTCTGTTGCTCTCTCTCTCTCTCTCTCTCTCTCTCTCTCTCTCTCTCTCTCTCTCTCTCTGTCTCTCACCTTCCAGTGATGCTCAGCGGTGTAGACCAATTGAGAGAGTGGAATGTTGTAGTACCTAAAGAAACTTTGGTTCCTCAAGGATCTTTGCTAGATTGCCATCTAGTAGTCCATCCGGTAAAGATTCTCTGCTCGTTACCCACCAATAGACAGCAAGAAAGGAGAAGATACACCCAGCGGTGATTCCACATCCGGCAAATAGATACGAATACAGGATCAATCCCTTGCTCAACAATTTGGCGCTTCTACTTCGAGGTGGCGTCAGCATGATGTCTCTGAAAAGCGGAGTGGGAGAGAGTGAGAGAGAAGAGAGAGAGGGAGAGAGACAAAGAGAGAGAGAGAGGCAGAGGGTGAGATAATGAGTTAAAGAGATACCGTTCCGGCTGCTCGTAGGCCAACGAGATCGAAGGCGGCAATTCTGATGCCAAATCCACGGATAGAATCTGGAAAATCTCATCTTAAAGGACCGTTGAAGGTACCTGAAGTGGCGACAACCCATGGGGCAACCCGAAGAGAAATGTCAGCATGATTGGGACCACTTCCGGCCAAAGATGGGCAAACGTGTAGGCGAGGGATAGTCTGTAAAGGCAAAGTTTCTCTGCTAGCCTGCCTGCCTCGATTCGCGCCTTTTTGGCGTTTTAAAGGCCCATTGAAGGCAAATTCTGAGGATCCAATTTTTCGCAATGGTCTCGGCTAGCTTGCCCACCCGAATTTTTTTCAGTTGTAAAAGACCTTTGAAGCCACTTACCGTAGATTATCAAACAACAGCCTCCCCTCCTCAATTCCCTGTACAATCGAGGCGAAATTGTCGTCAAGGAGCACGATGTCAGCCGTCTGTTTTGCCACATCACTGCCAGATAGACCGACGGCTATTCCAATGTTGGCATGAGCAAGAGCTGGAGCATCATCTACACCACCGCCCGTCACGGCTACCACCTGGAAAATGCATCTTAAAGGGGTAGAGACACCTGGTTCAGGGGTAGGCTAGCAGAATTTCTTTGCCGAAAACGGTTCAAAAATGGCTTTAAAGGGACGGCAGCAGCTATAAACAATGCGCTGGCTAGCAGAGATCGTTTCGAAATTCCGTCAAAGTCTCTGCTAGGTCCCCCGCTGAAACTGACCTCTCCACGATTCTGGCATTCCGTCACGATATTCAGCTTCTCGTCGGCGTTCGTTCTAGAAAGTGTAGCTTGTAGTCTGTAGTCCAAGGCAAACCTAGCAAAGACGATGTATTTATGACGGAGCAAATGGTCCCAATCCTGTTTGGTATATGTTGACAATTGATCCCCCCGTCACCACCGTCCAATCACTCGATCCGTCCGCCTTCGATTTGTGGCCAAGGTGCTGCAAAGGGTCTCTGTTAGTTGCCTTTTCTCTCTCACGCGCTCTCTCTCTCACTTTATCTCTCTCTCTCTCTCTCTCTCTATCTCTCTCTCGCGCGCTCTCTCTTTCTCTCCCTATGTCTGTCTCTTTCACGCTCTATCTCTCTCTCTCGCTGTCACTCTCACTCTCCCCCTCTCTCAATCTCCCCCTCTCTCTCTCTCACGCTACCCCTCTCTCTCACTCTCTCGCTCTCCCTTTCTCTCTCTCGCTCTCTCTCACTCTCTCTCTCACTCACTCTCTCTCACTCACTCTCTCCTACCGGTGTCTGTGCCTCCGCTATGAGCCCAATCTGCTGTGCAATAGCCGTGGCGGTCGTTGGATGATCACCGGTAATCATGAACACCTACAAAAGGGTGTGGTGAACGCGTTGCGGTCGTGTCGCGGCTGACGGGGCCACAAAGCAACCCACCTTGATCCCAGCCTGCTTGCATTGATGGATGGCGGTGGCCGTCTCGGGTCTGGAAAATTAGGGTTAGCCGATTACGACAGGAAAACAGGCCGAAGTGGAGGGGTCATACCTTGGCGGATCCATAATGGCAGCCATTCCGAGAAATTCGAGATCTTTTGGCCAGTGATCATCTACAAGATCATCACCAGGAGGGAATCGAGTCCCCGAATCGGCGTTGAAGTGCTTCTGAAAGATAGATAGAGGAGCTATCAGAAGAGGGAGAGAGAGAGAGAGAGAGAGAGAGAGAGAGAGACCAAACCTGTGCAAATGCGATCACCCTCCTTCCGGCATGCCCGAACTGCTCCCAGGCCTCCTATAAAATGCTCTTATTCATTCGAGACCAGAAACCTCAGGCTACAGGCTACAAGTTCCTAACCTGTGCCTCATTTCTGAAGTGTTGATCCACAGGGGAGAGTCCATCTCTTCCGCGCTGCGAAGAACAGTGAGAAAGAATCAGTTCCGGGGCCCCTTTCATCATTATCACAAAACGGCATTCGCCCTAAAAACAAAAAAATTGGGATAGGCAACTAGCAGAGACCGTTTGAGCGCCGGCTTGCCTTGATTTTTCCAAAAACACTGATAGTCTGCCTATTTCAGCGCAGCGCAACTGGCTGGGACTATTTCGTAACCTAATAGCACCCAGGTTCATGAACCCTAAGTAATCCATGCTAGCTTGCCAACATCAAAATCTCTCTCTCTCTCTCTCTCTCTCTCTCTCTCTCTCTGTCTCTCCCCCTCTCTCTCTCCCTCTCTCCCTGCCTCTCTCTATCTGTATCTCTCTATCTTTCTCTCTATCTCTCTCTGTGTCTCTCTCCCTGCCTCCCTCTCTCACTCTCTCTCTCTCTCTCTCACACTCTCTCTTTCTACCTGTAATGGCTTCTCCTCTTCCCCATCAATCGCCTCGGCCATACATCTCGCTACTACCAGCTGATATCGTCGTAGAGAATTGAAGGGAACCTCGTAGACCACCTAAGAAGTAAGATTTTCTTTCGATTCAATTTCCTCCTAATGTTACCTGATATCTCTGCCGAATGCCCTCCACGGATGCCGTCAGTTCTACATATTTCGCCAATGCAACATCAGATGGTATTCCAAAGATGTCTCCCTTTTTTCGTTGCTTCGATGATCCGGCTTGTCGACTCGTTCCCTCACAAGTCACCTAGCGGAGAATATTTGTTTTAAAGGGACAGTGACCCTTACAGATTCCTCAGTCCGGCTCAGCGCTTCCAGATCGGCTGCCGAATTGCTTCCGGTCGTCAATCGAGGCTGGGATTCGGCTCCGGTTTTTGGGTTACTGTAATTGGTGATTGTCGCTGTTATGACAGGGTCACTGTAACAAATTAGATTTTTTCGACATTGTGGGAAATTTTTTGGTTTTTCCGTCGCTGTACGAACTTAACGTTGTACGGCATGCCGTGGTATACTGTACAATTACATTCTTAGCTGAATTGGCTGCAATTTAGCGTAGACTAGGATACGGTAGCGGTTACTGTAGCCTTACATAATCGTAAACTTCTTCTTAACCGGTGCGATAAATTGGGCCTCAGAAGTGGCCTTTTCGAGGGCACGAAGGGTTGAGACACGATACATCTTTGAACGCGTCTGAAAATGGATAGATTCTTGCTCTCTCTCTCTCTCTCGTACTCTCTCTCACTCTGTCTCTTTCTCGCTATCTCTCGCCATCTCTCTCTCGCTCTCTCCCACCTGATCAAATTGTGCCCGATTACATACACTCATCACCGTCAGCATCTCGAGGAGCGGCGACTCGACTTTTCCCTGAAAAGGCTTTAGAAAGAGGGCAAGCTAGCAGAGATTCTTTGCCGCAGCTTCAAACCGGAGTAGCTGTCCTCAAAGAACTCTGCAAAAATGGATTCTTGCGGAATCCTGAGCAAACTTGCCGAGCTCCTTTCCACGTTACCTTTCTGATGGCTCGTATATGCGGGTTCTTCGGATCAACGATGTTTCCCGGCACATATTTCTGATTGTACCACAGATCGGTGACCACCATTTGGTTCATCGTCAGTGTGCCCGTTTTGTCACTGCAGATTACGGTAGCCGCGCCAAGTTCGTCTGAAATGGGGTGAGAGAGTGGAGGAGAGAAAGCGAGGGAGAGCGATAGAGAGATAGAGAGAGAGCGAGTGAGAGATAGAGAGAGAGTGAGAGAGAGAGACGCAGAACGCCCAAACTTACCGATCAAGTCCAACTTCTTGATGTAGATGTTCTTCTGGGCACAGCGACGAGCGATAATTCTGAAAAACCAATTTTAAAGGGACCGGCAAGGCAAAAATCACCTCAGCTGTGAGAGTACGGTAGCCGGAAGGCCCTGAGGGACATTGGCAACGATTATGACGAGGAAACCAGTGACGAAGTGGTCGAGCACGTTCTCGAATCTGGAGGGAAAAACTGATTTTTAGGGATGGCGAGCTAGCAGAGATTCTTTGGGATCAAAGTTGAGTAATCTGGCTGGAAATACAGGGTGAGGCATATATATGGCAACACTTTCCGGGTCTCTAAAAAAATTAACAACGCTGGCTGGGTTTCAATAATTTGCTGAAATATGGCCACAGAGGTCCCGTAACCACTCTTAAAATATTAGAATGCAGCAACCCTATAAACTTTTGTTCTGAAGCAAAAACTGGGTGTGGTAAGGGTGGCGCTGGCACGGAACCCCTTGGAAGCCAATTTCAGCATGGTTTGGAAAATTCGTTTTGGGTACGAATGACCCCTAAAAACATGTGTACTACCTAGTAGTGACAGCTAAACGTAATAAAAACAATTCATTTCCTTTAAGTAGGCAGAAATTTTAGAACTGTTCTCGGCTGTTCCCAAAAAAATCATAGTAAAAAAAGTAAAATACCTTTTTTTGATCTTTACGCATTGAATTGCTTGGTTTAAACGCCCGAAATTGGTTCAACCCAATGCCTAAAATGTAAAAAATTGCTTAAATAACACAATGCAATTGGCAGGCATTTTATAATTAATTTTAAGTGGTCAATGTAAGGGTGGTCAGGGGTGGGTAAGCGCGCGTTTTTTGAATATAGAAAAATTCCCTCGCCAGTTTCCGACTAAAAGATTTTTGGTAAAAGTAAATAAGATCAAACTGAACTTAAATGCAAAACCCTGGAGCAGAGCGACCAATTTCCGGGGTTCCAGGAGCAGCGTGACGACACCCCGCTTTTACGCCAAAATGGCTAAACTTCCCGTTACTATAAATCAAAAATTAAAAATTTTACAATCGTTTTCATTTGTCTCCTGCATAAAGAAACACTAGTTCTTTTATAGGAAACATACAATCCTCCAAAAAAATAATTAGTTTTCCGCTAGCAGGCAAATTAGTATGATCTGGGGGTGTTGCCATATATATGCCTCACCCTGTAGATTCCTCAATGATCTCTGCTAGTTGCCACGAGCCGGATTGGGCAAGCTAGCAGAGATTCTTGAGGAGACCGGAGCTCAAATGCTCTGCTAGTTGCAGAGAGAGAGCGAGAGAGAGGGAGAGATGGAGAGGGAGAGAGAGAAAGAGAGAGAGAGAGGCAGAGAAAAAGACCAACTTTGCGACGATGCATCCAAGAATGAACGTCGCCGACGCCATGCAAATCGCCAGCATCGTTACGAAATTGGCGAAACCTCTAAATATTCACCATTTTCGGTTTTACGCTACAAACTACAAACTACAGACTACAAACTCCGAAAAATTTATCAAAAATGATTTGTTGTAGCGAAAAACAGCTAGCAGATCCATAGTTTTGGTCAGACTACAAACCACGACTCAAATTTGATTAAAAGTTGTAGTCTGTAGCCCAAAAAAATCTAAACTACAAACAAAACGGCAAACTACAAAGTACAAGTTCTATTCGGCTAGATTTTGTAGTCTGTAGTCCAGAAAAGCCAGTTTTAATTTCCTTCGAAAAATTGTAGTTTGTAGTCAGCCTACCGTAGCTCCTTTTGCAGCTTCGTCTCAATAGCAGGCTGTGTGTGCATTTCGGCAATCTCGCCAAGTACCGTAAACTTTCCAGTACGAATGGCTACGCCCATTCCGTCACCCTCCGTACAGTAGGAACCCTGGAAATGGGGCGAAAATGACAAATTACGGTTTAAAGGTGGTGGGACAGTAAAAATCCGGTTTTCCTAAAGAGACATTGCAAGCCCGCCCCTTACCTTAAAAGCGATATTCTTCGCGTCAAAGGCCGAAATGTGAGAGGCGACCTCGCTGGCAGCGTATTCGGCTGGTTTCCGGTGACCTGAAAAGAGTACGGTGGGCTACAAAGTACAAAATTTTTGCCAACAAACCTCAAACTGGACTACAAGCTACAAATTGTCGTCTAGAAACACAAACTAAAAATGACAAACCAAATTTCCTTTAGAAACGTCTGGATACAAAATACAAGCTACAAAAATCTAGAGTACAAACTACAAAAATTTACCTGTCACTTCCGAAGACTCGATCTTCATGCAGTGAGCCTGGAGAATGCGAACGTCGGCCGGGATACGGAAACCCTGTCTGGAAAAGAGGTGTAGTTTGTAGTCTGTAGTCTGGATGCCAGTTTAGCCATTCCTAAGTAAAAACCCCATAAATCGCCAGTGTGGATGCCGGTTTAGAATTACCTTACCTAATAACGACAATATCCCCGACGACCACTTCAGCAAGGTCAATTTCTTTCTCCTCACAATCCCGGATGACAATGGCTGTGATGGGGAGAAGCTTCTTGAAGTTTTGTTGGACCTGAAAATCGTAATTTGTCTCATCTCCCTCTTTCTCTCCCGCTCTCTCTCACTCACTCTCTCCCCGTCTCTCTCGCTATCTCTCTCGCCAGCTCTCTCTCGCTCTCCCTGTCTCTCTGTCTCTCTCTCTCTCTCTCTCTCTCTCTCTCTCTGTATGTCTCTCGCTCTCCCTGTCTCTCTGTCTCACTGTCTCTCTCTTTCTCTCTGTCTCTCTCTGTGTCTCTCTCCCTCTCTCTCTCTTTCTCGCCTACCGTACCATCCTGGTCTTCCTCTCCTGATGTATGGAAAGCAGACACATAAAAAAGACGACACCAAGGAGTATGGCAGCACAATAGAGATTGAGGGGCTCATTGAAGCCGTGGGCCAAATGCACAAAGTACGTGATCACCGACAGCATTGACGCGCCTGAAAACACGATTTCACGAAATATCCTGCCGTAATTGATGCAAAATCGATTACGACATGGAATTACCGGTGAGTAGGACCCAGAATTTGAAGTGAAATTGCGAGGCGAACGATCGGATGAGGCTCTTTTCGGCCGGCGGCTCAATGACGTTCGGCCCGCCATCTTGGAGGCGTTTTCTGGAAACCGGCATTTTGCGGATCCACGATCCGACATTTTAAAGGGAGCGTGACACCTCGAAAGCTACCGTACTTTGCCTCCTCGGCCGATAGCCCATCTGATCTTGACGGATCGGGGGCATAGATGAAAGAGTCGGGGTAGACATCCTGGAAAAATGGAGGTGATAGGGCGAGCTAGCAGAGATTCTTTGAGGAAATTCGGGGCAGGCTAGCAGAGATTCTTTGAGGAAAATTCTGAAATCACGAAAGCTAACCTGCAACTGCGTTATCGTAAGGTGATGCTCGACAAACGACGAAATAACGGCATTCCTGGCCTCTGTCGCGTCAGCTGTATCGTGGCGGACACGACGGCGACGACGGGAGAATAAACGATTCACACCTCGAGAATCGGACGAGTCGCGGGTTTCTGAGAAATACGAAATGAAATCTGCTAGCCTGCCTTTCAGCTTAAGGGGCTCGGAAATCGGAAACACGGCCCCAGCGTTGATTCCTGGCAAATAGCCAGATGCCGCCGCAACGCGACCGCGACGCATGGCCTTTTGCCCTGGATTGGACGTGAAAACGCTTGAATTTCAAAATTTTGACGCTATTTCTGGAATCCTCAGCGAATTTTGATCATTCTAGACTTTTTAATGATGAAAATTGCTGAGAGAATGACCGAGATCGAGAGATTGGGTGTCTTACAACGCATTACGACATGTAATTCCTGCACACTCAAAATACCGTTTTCGCCGGGAGAACTTTTCGGTTTTTCTCAAATATTTTTGTAGGTTCAATCCCCGTCGGCGCGAATTCTGACTTCCCAACCCCTTTAAGGTTTCACAAATGGTCTCTGCTAGACTGCCTAACTGACCTCTTTCCTCTAATGAGATATTCCTGAATGCCGGACCCTCGTCCGGATCGTCATCTTGGGGTTTTATCGTCATCTGGCGGGAGAGAGCATTGGCTGGAGAGAGTGTATTGAGAGAGATAGAGAGATAGAGAGCGAGAGAGAGAGATGACGCGAAAAAGTTTAAGGTCTTTAAAGGCGCCTGCAAGGCTAATTTCTGTGAATTCCAGGTCGTTAGGCAGCAAATTACAGTTTGTAGCCTGTAGTCCGGCTGACAGTTTAGCGATTTTCTGAAAATTTTTTTGGCAAAAACCTTAAAAAAATGCAAAAAGAAAAAGTTGGTTAGGGCCGGGAGTCGAACCCGGGCCTTGACGATGGGAGTTTGTAGTCTGCAGCTAAAGGATAAGGTGTAGTCTGTAGTCTGGATGCCAGTTTGGTGATTCCAATCAAAATAAACCCAAAAACTGTCCAACTAGTCGAGATAGAGGGGGCATAGATCTCTCTAGGGGGGTGGGGTGCAACCTGTGGAAAATCCCCCCGGCTTTCCAGAGCAGCGGAAACGGTGCGTGACGAGAGAGAGGAGAGAGGGGAAGGGATGGATTGGGATCGGGGGGACAAAATGGTTGATGTCATTTTCTATCCTTTCTCTCCCTCTCTCTCTCTCTCTCTCTGTCCCTCTCTCTCTCTCTCTCGCTCTCCCGTCGATACTATAAAACCAGGGCTTTACGATGAGTTGTCAAACGGAAAAAAGGCGAAAGAAGGGATCAACGACGGCGCAACACCAACCGATCAACCCGCAAAAAAGCTGCCAATTTCATGGCAAAACACCCGAAAAAAGCGAAAAGCAAAAGGTTGGCACCGGTCGGGAATCGAACTCGGACCACCCGGTTGGCAAATTTTAGTTTGTGGCTTATAGTCTGGCTGCCAGTTTAGCCATTTCCATCAAAACACAGGTGGAAACAAAAGGTATCCGCTACAACTCGCAAAACGCAAAACGCAAAAAGCTTGCCGCGGCCGGGAATCGAACGCGGGCCACCAAATTGGAGAATTGTAGTTTGTAGCATGTAGTCTGGCCACCAGCTCAGCCATTTCCATCAAAATCCAGGTGGAAAAACCAAAAAGCAAAAGTTGGCCGCGGCCGGGGGTCGAACCCGGGCCTTGAGGGTGGTAGACGGGGACACAAACCGATTGGCCACACGAACAAATGTCAGATGCCGATTCTGACCTTTCGAAAATTGAGAAAAAATGGTCGGAAAATTATAAAAACTATATGTATTAGCAATACTATAAAATCGATGATAATAGATGGCGTAATCGATTGGGTTGGCACGCCAGAAAACCTCAAATTTTCCCATTTAAAACTTTCGATTTAATTTTGAGAAATTTTAGGCGAATAAAATAGAGGAAACAATGCTTAATTAGCAGTGTGGAAATTATGAAGCAGCGACTGCGCGGAGGAGAATCAATTGGAGGCCGGGCTGGAGAGAGAAGGGGAGCACGAGCGGAAAAGGAGCACCACGAAACACATCAATCATTTATCATTTAGCATGGTGGACAGACAGACAAACGGACAAACTGACAGACAGACAGAGAATGAAACAAATTGCCTGTTAGACAGCAGGATCACTGGCCTGATGGCCTGGGTTCGACCCCCCCGCCGCGCCAAACGTTCTGCTTTTTGGAATTTTCCTTGAGTTTTCTCTCTCACCCTTTCTCTCTCTCTCCCTGTCTCTCTCTTGCTCTCTTGCTCTCTCTCTCACTCTCTCTCCCTCCCTGTCTCTCGCTTGCTCTCTCTCTCTCTCACTCTCTCTATTTCTCTCTCACTCTCTCTCTCCCTCTCTCTCTCTCTCTCTCTGTCTTTCTCTCTCTTACTCTCTCACTCACTCGCTCTTACTCTTTCTCGCTCTCTCTCTCTCATTGTCTGTCTCTCTCTCTGTCTCTCTCCCTTATTCCATCATCGCAAATAAATACTTTATCAAACTTTTCAGAATCACCTGAGATCACGGGGGGCGTAGTATTTTGGGGGTAATGAGCACCGAGTTCCAGTAGAAACCAAAAAAACACACAAAAAAGACAAATAAGAGCTATCATCAAGAAAATCGAGACTTCAACGGCCCTTTAAAAAGTGGGCGTGGCTTGCTAAAAAGATCGTTTGCGATGTCGTGGCGGTCGGGGGGATTGGCGAGGGCCCTGGGTGAAATGACGAGACGATTCTCGAGACGAATGCCCATTCCAGTCGCTGAAAATCGAAAATAGGGCAAACCGGCAGAGATCTTTGCGGAATTGGACTAGTTGTCACCCAGCTGTTACGCCCCCTTTAAAATGACCCACCTCGACACATCCGTCCTCACGTATCGTTGCGTAGGCCGCGACGCCCTGGGTGGTCGATGGGATGGCGGAGGGCGACTGCTACGCGTCACTACAACATTACATCGCGTAATTGCGTCTGGATTCGCGTAATTTGGCAGCCAGTTGGGTTATTTAAGCAGGAGACACATTGAATTTCGGTGTGAATAACATTCAGAACCTCCAGAAAACTTCAATTTTTTCGATTTTCCGCCCGATTCCTCTTGACGTATGGGGGTACTGTAGCGGCGTTTAATGTACCATTAGAAAGAGGAGATCGAGATTTATCAGTTCTCAAATGTTGACTACTGTAGCCCGCTGGAATATCATTTTATCAAGCCTGAAAGTCGACAAAAATTCGGTTTTTCGCGATTTTTTCGATTTTCCGAGGCATTCCTATTGACGCCTGGGGGTACGGTAGCGGAGTCTGATACATCCTTTAAAAAAGAAAGTCGAGTTCTATCAGCTACTAAAGTTTTAGCTACCGTATCCCATTGAAACCCCCATTTTTAAGCCACTAAAGTTAGAAAAAAAAACGAAATCTGAAACGTTCTAAAAGACACCTCTTTCCACCCCTCAACTTACCGGACGTTTTGTGGATTACGGTAGTTCGGCCCTGGGGCTCGAGAAGTGCCTGACGGCCCGATGGATGACGCTTATACGAAATGGCCACAGATCTGAAAAAATGGGGGGTTGTAAATTGTAGCGCTGTGGAAATACATGTCGTAATCGATTCGGCCTCTGTTTTAGGTGGCGTAATCGAAAAACCACGCGATATTTCGATATTTTTTGCCTAAATTACTCTTATGGCAGAGAGTATAGCAATTCCTCATCCTTTTGCGAAAAAAATTGGACCGAAAATTGGCCTTTTCCTGTCGTAATCGATTATCCTAGTTGGCGAATTATATGGCGTAATTGAATAGCCGTAGCGAATTTTGGCGTGTTTTTTACATAAATGGCGGCGCTGGCAGACGGTACAGCGATTCTTAACACCTTTTGCGCACCATTCCATGCCGTAATCGAATCTGGGCGAATTAGGTGGCGTGAGCGATTCGTCGAGTGGGAGATTTTGATGGCGTAATTGAATACCCATATGGAATTTTGGCATATTTTTTGCATAAATGGCTGCGCTGGCAGACAGTACAACGATTCTTAAAACTTTTTGCTCACAATTTCATGTCGTAACCGATTGCAGGCTACAAAGTACAACCGACCGGTCAAAATGTGGTTTCCTCCTGTAGTCGATGAGGAATAGACCGAGACATGTGCACAGTATCCCCACCACTACACCTATCGCCACCAGCAGCAGCAACAGGATCAGCGGAAACGCCTCTAAAAATACAAAATCAAAAATTGAAGCTTTAACTTTAAAAATTAAATTTTTTTGACTCCTCAAAAATTTTGAATTTTGACTCCAAGAAATTTGGATTTCTAAAATTTATTTCACATTTTTGAACTTTTTTTGAAGACAACTAGCAAGGATTTTTGCGGAAATCACTTAAAAAAAGGTGAGAATTAGCTTTCAAGCTTTGAAAATTTAAAATTTTAAAAATTAAAAATTAATTATGAATTTAAAAAATTTAAATTTTGAAAACTGCGTTTTTCATTTTCTGATTTTTTGAGCCTTTTACAAGCCAGCTAGCAAGGTTTCTTTCCGGAAATACTGTAAAAATTGGCTTAAATTAATTAATACAAGATTTTAATCAATTAATTTTAAAAATAAATTTAGATTTAAATTTAAATTAATTAGTTTTCATAATTCCTTTAAGAACTTTCCAAAATAAGTTGTAAAAATTATTTTTCAAAAAAACCCCCATAAACGGACCGTCAATAGTATGGGCGATTCCGTGGGTGTTGTCATTAGTTGTGGTTCGTTCTGTGTGTCTCCTCTGCGTCTCCTCAATCTCTCCGCCTGCTCCAATCTCTTCTGGTGGAGGAGCATGAGGGTCTTCTCGATCATCAACGGGCGAGATCAGGAATTCCTCTTTTCGGACACGTTCCTGAATCCCACAAAATCGGAAATTACCGGGCGTCCCAAAAATCCCGCCTTCCGCTAAAAATTTATGCTAGCTAGCTTCCGCATTTGCAAATTCTCTCGGTTAGATTTCCCGGGAAAATAGTATACAGGGTGTCGCAAGAAAAAACCCCCCTACCTAGCGGTCCGCAGTCGATTCCGATTTTTACGATTTAGGTATCTATCGAAAGCTCTCGAAAAGGCGAGAAAACAAGGAGGGTTGAATTTCTTAATTAAGCCTTTTTATTTGCTAATTTTATGTCCAAAAACCATGAAAACTGCTGATTTATGCGAGATCTGCATGCTAATTGCGAAATTCCTGATGAAAAACTCCCGGCTTTTTAGGAAAACCTGAAATATCGATAGAATCAGATTAAATCTTAGAAAACGAAACCCGCTTGTTTTCTCGCCTTTCCGAGAGCTTTCGATTGGTATAAAAATCATTCCGATCCGATCCGATTGACGGCCTCTAGAGGGGGGGTTGGGACACCCTGTATACAGGGTGTCGCAATAAAAAAAGTGTCGGATCCGAACACACCAATCTTCAAAACCAGGTTTTTATTCGAGTCCGCAGTTTTACAAGCCATTTTCTCAAAATTTTATCGCTGTTCGGGATTTCGAGATTTCATTTCGGAGGTTGCATACGAGGTGATTTGCCTCAATTTCTTCATACAAAATGACCGAAAGTAGGCGTTAATTATTTCCTTTTTTTATCCTTTCAATTTTCTATTTCAATCTGCCATTCAATTTATTTCAGACATGGCAATCCCGGCCGGCCTAGCCGCACGGCCGAGCCGCCGGCCCAATTTCCATAAAAACGCGGCCCCATACGAGCCGGGTTAATGACTTACTTCCGGAAACCCGGCTTTCCGGCCCAGCCGGCTTTTGGTTGCGGCCCGGCCAAGCCGGTCCGGCCGAGCCGAGAAACCGGAAGTTGTTCATTTACGTGAGAATCCGTGAATCCTATGCAAAATTGTGAATGGAAATGACCAAATTTATATGGTGGTGATTTTTCTCTTGCCATAAAGCTAATTATTGATTGAATCCGCAATTTGCGTACCGGAAACACGAAAATCACATTTGGGTCCGGCTTTCCGGCTTTTCAAAAGCCGGCGGCTTGGCCGGGGCTCCGGCCTCAAAACATAAAAAGCCGGAGCCGGTCCGGAAGCTCCGGCCAAGCCGCGCGGCTCGGCCGCATTCTAATTTTTCCGGCCGAAAAAAGCCGGCGGCCCGGCCGTTTGCCATGTCTGAGGTATTGCCATTTCAATACAATCAATTTCAATTTATTCAACACCGTTCCTGGGGGTTTTCAACGGCTTTGTAAAATGGCGCGTTTCAATAAAAAAAAAACAAGGTTTTGACAAGATTTTCGCAACGTTTCAAGGGGCTTTCAAATGGTGTATAAATATCATTCCGCGCCGATACTTCTGCGTCGAGTTTTTTTCGCCACGAAAGCTTTTCTGGTACTTATTACCGGCACTGGTACGAATTTTTACTTCCGAGCCCCTTTAAAGCGAAAAACAGCCAGCCGAGGCTAGCAATGATTTTTTGGGGAAATCCTGAATCTAGGGGCAGGCTAGCAGAGACCATTTGCCCCCACCCACTACCTTCACATCTTTATTGATGGTGTTCGGCATTTTCTCGATAATCTTCTCGGCCAGCTGATGCGACTCCAGATTTCCCACCGGCGCGTACACATTTTTGCCGTATCTGCAAAAAACCAAAAACTGTAACCTGGGGCAGGCTGGCAGGGATTCTTTGGGGAAAAACCGACTTGCTCCTCCGCTTCATCGGCAGATCCACCGGGTATTCCCTCGTGCTCCCGTTGATGTTTTCCGTCAATTTGATCCGAAACACGTGCACCACGCAATCTGGAAGGCACCCAATTTGATGGCGTAATCGGATGGCTTTTGCTAAAGGATCTCTGCTAGCCTGCCCCTCGTTTCTAAAGGGATCGTAACATCTCGTCCGAGTCCTAGAATTTTTTTTTCTGGCGCGAACTGGGCAAGCTAGCAGGGTTTCTTTCGGGGAAACGAGCGGAAATTCCTGGCCCATCCATCTAGCTGACAACCAGTTTAGCTAATCTGACAGCCAGGGGCAGGCTAGCGGAGATCATTGGGGAATTTCGAGGCAAAAAAATTGAACTTACCGGAAGCGTTCCCATTGCACGGCATCTTCACGGGTTGGGCTTTTTGCGGGATGGGAGAGGTTGAGGCTAAAATATAGGGCTAGAGAGAGTGAGAGAGAGAGAGAAAGAGAGTGAGAGAGAGAGAGAGAGAGAGAGAGAGAGAGAGAGACAAAGAGAGAGAGGGGAGAGAGAGGGGGAGAGCGAGGGTGAGAGAGAGAGAGTGAGAGAAAGACAGAGAGAGAGGGGGGAGAGAGAGGGAGAGAGAGGGAGAGAGAGAGGGGGAGAGGGAGAGAGATAGAGAGAGAGGGTAGAGAGAGAGAGGGAGAGTGAGAGAGAGAAACAAAGTTTAACCCAACCTGTGGTGAAAATTGCTAGCAAAAACAAGAGTTGCCTCATCCTGCGGGCATCCCTTCCCGGAAACGGGGTCCTGAAGAGGCCTGAAATTGGCGGATTACCCTAGCAAGATAGCCGAGAAACTGTGCGGAACCATTGGGCAATTGAGAACAAATGATCTCTGTTATCTTGGCGAGTTGGGAGGCAGGGTGTCAGATAACGTGAGTCCCTTTAAAACTGCGGGCAGGCTAGCAGAGATTGTTTGAGGTAAACGACGGCTGCCAGGCCAGAAAATAATCGGGCGAGGGGGGTGGAACCGTAAAAAAGGCGTTGATTTGGGTGGGGAGAAGGGGAAGTGATGGAATGGAGTGGATCGATCAGGAGGAGAGAGAGAGAAAGAGAGAGAGAGAGAGAGAGAGAGAGAGAGAGAGAGAGATAGAGAGGGGTAGAAAGAGAGACTGATTGTCATTTTGCCAATATTCTCCGCGCTCTTTCTCATCGTGGAGTGGGGGGAGATCGAGCGGTGTGGAGAAGATCTGATAACGGGAGGCAAGGAGGAAGAGTGACTGTCTGTCTGTCTGTCCGTCTGTCTGTCTGTCTCTATCTCTCTCTCTCTCTCTCTCTCTCTCTCTCTCCCAGTTTAAAGGGGCTACGAAATGCCAAAAAATTGAGTGACGGCCCGAAAATCGGAGCCCTGTACGTCGGAGGCCTCTGTACGCCCAGGGGGCGGGAAGCTCGCAAAATTTGAAATTGCCTGTTGTCACCTCGAAATCACGTTCTCGGCTGTTTCTGGGCCAAATTTGTTGATTAAAACACCAAAACTATTTAAAAATGAGTGAGGATTTCAAAAATGGGCTCAGAATGCGCGAATTATAGTGTTTTCCCAAAGAAACCGGGCAAAAAACTTCGCGCCAAAAGAATGAAGAACTTCTCTCTCTCTCTAGAGTTTGATTAGTCGAAATTTTCGAAGTTTTCGAAGCAATTTCGTCGAATTTGACCAAAAAAGATCCGCGAATTTGGTCAGCATTTTCGGGTGGGCATTTGGCGATCGACACGCCATGTATCTGTGGGGCAGGCATACGCGAGGGGTCATCCCCGTTGGGGTGTGAAAACAACACCTGAGGGTATATTGGTCGGGCAATAGAGTTTGTGGCCATTCTTTCAGGGGTCAGCCAGCCCTTGCATTCCCTCATTCCGATCTCGATACGATATATTTACGGCTCCCCGACATTGGCGGCCTGTCATTTGCGGCCCGTCCTATTAAGCTCGTTTTTTGGTAAAGGTTGCTTAACGGGGGGGGGGACAAATAACGGGGGTGGCAACAATTTTTGTATTTATGAAGAACATCTTGTTATTTTGAAAACGCCATCGGATAGTGTCGAAAATGATACCACGAGTTTGAATTTCACTCCAAAAAACCTCACATTTCACCTCACACCGATTGTTAATTGCTTAAACTTTTTAGCTTAAAAAGTAGAAATTTTAAATTGTGGTATTTTGGACTGTAACTAAGGCTATTAGTCAATTTTCGACGCTCTATCCGATGGCGCTTTCACAATAACAGGATGTTCTTTATAAACACAAAAATTGTTGCCACGCCCACCATTCGTCCCCCCCCGTTAAGCAACCTTTACCCCCGATTTCGACACCCTGTACGATCTCGCACCCATCCGAAGCGACTAGGCCCCCCGGTGGCACGAAGCCTTATTGGTAAGACTCCAGATACCCCCCAGCCGGCACCCAACTTTTGTATCCCGGCTCCCTGTTCATCTACAGGTGTCTAAAGTATACCAAAATGTTCGTCTTGCTCTGGCGAGTATTTTGGTGTACTTTACACACCTGTAGATGAACAGGGAGCCGAGATACGGTAGCTGGGGGTCGGCTGGGGGGGGGGGGTTATCTGGAGTTTGGCCGCCTTATTTTTAGGGCAAGTCCAGGGGTCAAGCGATCAAAACCGTTCAGGAAACTGGCCTTCGGGACGGTTAAGAGTGGTTAAGAGAAGAATGTTTAGATGGGTGGCAAACAAAGCCGCGGGGATGACGGTTACCACCGCTTCATCGACCGGATCGTCGACTCGCCGGATGACGATGGAAGCCGGTAATTTCTAAAACCGAGGTTTAAAGCGCACGTTGAGGGAGGGGCCGTGTACGTACGTATACACCCTATGCACGTAGGGAACGCGCGCACTGCCTGCCCGTGGCGTGGCAGGCAATTCCCCTCCTTTGCGGCCTGGGGCGCCCCTCGCCCGAGGTTGTAGCTGTGGCTGACTGGTATGCATCCGCGCCTCCCGAGCGGGGGGCCCGGGTTCGACCCCCGGCCGCGGCACAATCTTTGCTTTTTTACCAAAAAAAACCTCCCTGAACGTGCGCTTTAAAGAGCCTTGGAAAGATGGCCGAGCGGCCCCAATGGGTGAGGGGCCTACGGGGGACCAGGCCCGGGAAAGGGCCGGTCCTAAACGCAAAATTTTTGGCCCCGGCCCGGCCCTACTTTCTGACCTTAACTAAAGCCATGCATCAGAGGAGTCCTGACATCAGCTGAGAGTACGTTTTAATGTCTCAGGTCATGCCAAATGGCATTGCAGTTATTTCAGATTGTTTCCGGTAGAAAAAAGGAAAAAACAAAAAATTGACCTCGGGCGGGGTCGAACCCGGGTCGTTTTCCTCGTAAGGGATTTTGATCAAAAACGCTTTTTTTTTTGTCCAAGCTGTGTAGATAGATAGCGTAATCTTTATCCCTGCGGAAATAGTAAATTTCAGAATGCCATCCTCATCCGCTCTCAACCGTACCCCGATGCTACCGTATCGCAAATTGCCATCTCGTCTCCAACATTTCGTCAATGGTCATCTCTCTTTTGAGACAAAAGCATTGCTCCGTACCACTTCAAAGGTTAGTCCGGTTCTACACCGGTAACGTGGTCTTTGTACGAAATCGTGGTCTTTGTACGAAATCGTGGACTTTGTACGAAATCGTGGTCTAATGGACGCCGATGCGGGTAACGTGGTCTTTAATCGATATCGTGGTCGATTGCCGGCATCGGGGTCTTTAAAAATCGAAAAATCGGCGATTTTTTGGGCCTGTTGAAAACGTGGTCTTTAAGAATCCAGGTTCGGACCGGCTATAGACCACGATTCCAAAACTTCCGGAAAAGCCCCCCCCAAATCGCTGGAAAAACGTGGCAATTTCACCAGTATGTTTCTAACCTAGCACGTTATGTGGTTTATGGCCTTGTCCAAAACCTGCCCCACCTGCCCTAAAAATTTCGGTTTGATTGGAAATGAGGCGGCCAAATGCCAATACTTTTCTGAGTAAGACCTGCTAGCAAACACTTCCGAAATATTTTTTGCGGCGATTTTTATGGGAAAATTGAAGTTTGGGTATTTTTAAATTGCAGAACACTAAAATAAGCTCTAACGTTTCAAATATTGTCATTCAACAACTTTTGGAAACAGTTGAAACAGTACTTTTGGAACGCTTTTGAATAAGGTTACTCTTGGATAGGTTTGTGTTTTTTTCGGGATTTTTTCAACGCCGTCATCGAAAATATACAAAGAGTTTTTTTGTTTTAAGTCAAAATATTGTAATACAAAATAGTTATGGCAAAATCAAATATGAAACGTAGTTTTCACAGTGGAACATTGAATGAAAGCTAGTTTTCGACAGTTTAGACGTTTTCTCAAAATTCCTTGAATGTTTTCTCCATGTTTTCTCAAAATTTCTTGAACGAATAGAGGGTCGTAAAATATACAAAGAATTTGTTTATAGCTAAAAATGATTGATTAGGTCGGCCCCGACAGTCTTTCCCCGCGACGTAGTCTGGATACACCGGAATCGCATTTTTGGGCTTTACCGGCTTCTTGAAACAGTCAATTTTAAACTTTTTCAACATACGAGTGTACCCGGATCATCCTAGTGAAATTGCCACGTTTTTCCAGCGATTTGGGGGGGCTTTTCCGGAAGTTTTGGAATCGTGGTCTATAGCCGGTCCGAACCTGGATTCTTAAAGACCACGTTTTCAACAGGCCCAAAAAATCGCCGATTTTTCGATTTTTAAAGACCCCGATGCCGGCAATCGACCACGATATCGATTAAAGACCACGTTACCCGCATCGGCGTCCATTAGACCACGATTTCGTACAAAGTCCACGATTTCGTACAAAGACCACGATTTCGTACAAAGACCACGATTTCGTACAAAGACCACGTTACCGGTGTAGAACCGTTAGTCCTTTATAAGCGAGAGAGGGAGAGAGGAGAGAGCGAGAGAGAGAGAGAGCAGCAATCTTTCGCATTATCACGATTTTCTCAATCTAATTTTGTCAAATATAAACAGCGGAACTGTTTCCAAATGGTTTTTTCTATTACTAAACGTGAAAACTATACAAAATTGTATTAAAAAGATGCCAAGAATGCCGTTTTTCGATGAAGCATGGCCGATTTCGAAATTTCGAAACCTTTTAGACGGCGTTTCTAGTTGAAATATAGTTATTCTGACTAATCGCACTTCCTATTAAGTTACTAGACCTTTCTACTTATACAAAAAATTTCGGTCCTCCCTACAACCTCCCCCCCCGATAATGCAAAAGAACCGGGGGAAGGGTGGGGGATCTGTCGAATCGCGTTCCATTTGTCAGGTCTTTTCCTCGCGGCCCGCCCACGTCTTTCTCCTCTACGGCAGATATCACGCCGTTCACGTTGAGGTGCTAGCGGTCAGTGAAAGCCGTTTTCTATCAGAATTCGTTTTCGCGTGAACTGGTGGAGAAACACATTTGCCAAAAACGCATTTTTTTTTTTTTGTTTTGCGAAGTTCTTCCATTTAGCAATTTTACAAGCAAAATGGTAAAAATCCTTAACAAAATGGGCGACGAGCCGTGGTGCTCCGGGGCATAACTCGAAGCCCTGACGCAATTTCTGACTGCAATTTGGAAAACTTATGTAATCGATAATGGGGATCACGCGCATCTAATTATCTTTACCAATTGTCCGCGGATTCGGACTTAAAGGGCTGGAGGAGGTCGGGGTGACGGACCGCCGCGGCGCTACCATCGACACTTTCCCTCGCGTAAGCGCCCCCAAAACCCCCTCCCTCGTTTGAAGAAACCAGTTTATTGGCTATAACTTTTTCATTTAGCAATGTTTTCAACTAAAAATTTGCGTAGATCGAGGACTTAGTGATACGCATTGATGGTAAAAATTTGAGCCGGATTGGATAAAAGGCGGTCAAGTTCTAAGCCATACGCGGTTTTGTGACACTGTTTCGGCTGAAAAAGAGACGCGTAGACAGCAAAACATCTCTAGAAAGTTGCAAAGTACGTTGCTATCCTTTAGCTAGGTTTTTTTACAACATTTTTTAGCTATTATCGCGATGAAATTGCTTTATTTCTAATGGCAGTTCTTGTACAGGTGGCAATGCGCCCTAGGGTATGTGGGGGCCCTCCGCCGCCCCTCGCCACTCGACTATTTGGTGTACTGGCTAGCGCATCGGACTGCGGGGCGGACCATCCCTGGTTCAACCCCCGTCCGGTGCGATCCTCTTTGCTCTTTCAGCAATTCCATCTTTCTCCAGCCCTTTAAGAATGGAATTTTGTAAAGTGACGGGAAAGCCCCCTTCCGGGAACACCTCGCTCCCCAGGACGGAAGGGGCCTTTCCCGCCGCCGACCGACACCTCCCCGGTGGTGTAGTGGATTGGCGCCTGGCCTACCAAGCGCGTGGTCCCGTGTTCGAATCCTTAGCGTATGACAATTTTTGCTTTTTGGTAGTTCAGCAACAAAACATATTTCTAGGCTCTCGGTGTGCAAGAGTTAGGCCAGGGCCTCGCTATAGCCCCGCAGGCCAAGGATGGGCTCCGGCTCTCGCGCCGCAGGCCATATCCTGAAGAAAAACCGGTAGCTCGCGCAGGCTCAACGATTCTAGCGCAACGCTGGCTTGGGCGCCGCAGGCCAAAGAATGGCCGCTTGGGTGGCCGATCACCTGTTCGAAAATCATCTGTTCGAAAACCATCTGTTCGAAAATCATCGGTTCGAAAAATCACCTATTCGAAAAAGGTCCCAAATGGGGAAAAATTCTATGGGAAGCTATTGCTATTAAAATGCTGTGTTTCGCATGTTTCGTGGGAAAGTTCGAGGAAAATCTGAAATTGCGCGGCTATATCGAATCCTCCGCCAAGCCAAAGAAGCGCCCGAGGGTGACCATCGACGAGCAGCAGCAGCTCTGCGAGAACTACAGCAAAGAAAATATGGCCGAGTTCCTCGACAACATCGCCAAAACTTTAACCTGAATCGTCATGAATATGTCTTTTAAAGTCTTTTTGTTTTTTTTAGTCTTTTTTTGTCATGAAAAGACTTTTCAAAAAAACGAGAATTTTGGAAAAGTTGTTGCTTGGAAAAGAGTGATTTTTCGAACAGATGATTTTCGAACCGATGATTTTCGAACAGATGACTTTTCGAACAGATGAATTTTCGAACAGATGCCTTTTCGAACGGATGATTTTCGAACAGGTGATTTTCGAACAGATGATTTTCGAACAGTTGATAGGGAATCGGCCGCTTGGCTCAGGTTCTAGCGCCGCCGGCTCAAAAAAGAAGGTATTCAAATCCATGGTTCCTGGACGGGGTCCAGTGGAAAAGGGCCGCGAAGCGGTCTTTTTCCACTGGTTTCGAGAGAATCAACTTTCGAGATGTTGCTTTTCGAGATAATGACAGTACCCCGCCACCTATGTCAATTATTATTCCAGTTCGCCGTCGGTGCGGACTTGGTCTTCAGCGTCAACGATCTGCCGGGTGAGTCGTAATGGCTGCGTGAGAACAGACCCCCCATGATGACTTATACAACGTCTTCGACCAGACCCTGAATATTACACGATACTATGAGGCCCATTTTAACCCCAAAATTAAAATTTTTCAAACAACGCGATAAATGACGCCATAAAAATCGGGTCGAAACCGTCAGTCATAATGGGGGTCTGTTTGGTTGAGTCGCGGACGGCCTTTTAAATTGCATCCGGCATCAAGAAATTGCATGCTAAACCCGGCTGAAATCCCCCGAGTTAATGACCGATTCCCCCTGTAGTATCCAACTCTAGGTTCAAACGGGACTCGATATCAAGCCATCCGGATACTGATTGCACATTGGAAGAACCTCGACAGGCTGTATGATTTCCGCTTTGAATTGGCGAAAAGCGATCACGGCGATGAGCCGGCGTATGCCGTGTCCACTTTCCGGTCGACCAAGTCGCTCGATATGCAGCGCTGGCTTCGAATACTCGACAACCTCACATCGATAATACCCAGCCAGGCCGTCCTTCTTCAACATAGATACGCCGTAATACCATTTCGAAGTAACTCTCTCCATCGTTCTCTCTCTCTCTCTCTCTCTACCTTTCCTCTTCTCTCTCACCCTCTCTCTTTCTCCCTCCCTCTCTCACTCTCTCTCTCTCTCTCTCTCCCTCTCTAATCCAGAATTTAGGGGCGTCCAATAGCCGCCATGAGCGAAATGTCCTTCTTCCGTCGATCTCGCATCACTATCAAAGCATGGGTATATAGGACCATCGAGGAGCGGGAAGTCGAGTGAGATACTGTATTCATAGTCACAACGAGTCAGTGAGTGAATGAGAGAGAGAGAGAGAGAGAGAGAGAGAGAGAGAGAGAGAGAGAGCTGCAATTGTAATTCCAGTGCCCAGATGCTCGACAGGGAGATCCCGAATGGATTGCGCCCATATCAGGTACCCTTCTCTAGCCGAATCGCCTCGACAAAAGTCCCCCCTTGTGGCCCAGCGCCCGAACCCTCGACTTACCGCTACCTGATTTGTTTTAGGCCTCAATCTCCGCGTGTTACTACAGGTCGGCCCGCTATTATCGTGTTTTCCTGGAAGCTTTTGAAAAGGTAAGAGGCCAAGGCTTCTGCCCGCAATATCCACCACTTTCCATTTTCAGTTAATCGACGTGCCACTTTTGCGATTCAATCAAGACTATCGTACGACAGCAGGCTGTCTGAAATCTTTGAAAAGGATCGAACGGCTCATCCATTATATTGTCACGGTTCGGTTCTGTTGCAGCAAAGGGGGGGATTCACGGGGTCAATTGTTTTTTGTTTAGAAGCCTCCGTCAAAAGGCCAGAAGAGGATCGTCGCTTTCCGGACTCAAACTCGCGGATTCCGCCCGTCACCGGTACTCTAACCTACACATCGCATCCCATTTCCTCAAACAATCTCTGCTAGCCTGCCCCTTTTGCAAGATACAAATTCAGGAGGATCTTGCGGAATATCAACGCGAAATGGATGTGATGTTGAATCGGCTAATCGATACCTTCAATATCTCACCACCTACATACCCTGTACAGGCAAGAATATCATCCCGTAACCCCCTTTACCCAGCCATGCCAAAAAGACAACAATTATTAACGACCAGGGCCCAAAACCCGCTTCGCGGGCCTTGGGCGCTGGAATGCGTCCTAGGCATGATAAGTTTGACTTTCCGATAGCTCTTGGGTCCACAACGACACGCGCGCGTGCAACTCGCAAGAATGAGGAAACTTGGATTTTTTTCACATTCTGCAAATTAGCCCTCCCGAACCCCCAAATAATGAATAAAACCGGCTCTAACTTTGTAAACCTGTATTTTATCGGAATTCTGAAAACGCCATCGGAAAGAAGAGGGTCGATTCCACCGGGTGACGGAGAAACACACACACACACACACACACACACACACACACACACACACACACACACACACACACACACACACACACACACACACACACACACACACACACACACACACACACACACACACACACACACACACACACACACACACACACACACACACACACACACACACACACACACACACACACACACACACACACACACACACACACACACACACACACACACACACACACACACACACACACACACACACACACACACACACACACACACACACACACACACACACACACACACACACACACACACACACACACACACACACACACACACACACACACACACACACACACACACACACACACACACACACACACACACACACACACACACACACACACACACACACACACACACACACACACACACACACACACACACACACACACACACACACACACACACACACACACACACACACACACACACACACACACACACACACACACACACACACACACACACACACACACACACACACACACACACACACACACACACACACACACACACACACACACACACACACACACACACACACACACACACACACACACACACACACACACACACACACACACACACACACACACACACACACACACACACACACACACACACACACACACACACACACACACACACACACACACACACACACACACACACACACACACACACACACACACACACACACACACACACACACACACACACACACACACACACACACACACACACACACACACACACACACACACACACACACACACACACACACACACACACACACACACACACACACACACACACACACACACACACACACACACACACACACACACACACACACACACACACACACACACACACACACACACACACACACACACACACACACACACACACACACACACACACACACACACACACACACACACACACACACACACACACACACACACACACACACACACACACACACACACACACACACACACACACACACACACACACACACACACACACACACACACACACACACACACACACACACACACACACACACACACACACACACACACACACACACACACACACACACACACACACACACACACACACACACACACACACACACACACACACACACACACACACACACACACACACACACACACACACACACACACACACACACACACACACACACACACACACACACACACACACACACACACACACACACACACACACACACACACACACACACACACACACACACACACACACACACACACACACACACACACACACACACACACACACACACACACACACACACACACACACACACACACACACACACACACACACACACACACACACACACACACACACACACACACACACACACACACACACACACACACACACACACACACACACACACACACACACACACACACACACACACACACACACACACACACACACACACACACACACACACACACACACACACACACACACACACACACACACACACACACACACACACACACACACACACACACACACACACACACACACACACACACACACACACACACACACACACACACACACACACACACACACACACACACACACACACACACACACACACACACACACACACACACACACACACACACACACACACACACACACACACACACACACACACACACACACACACACACACACACACACACACACACACACACACACACACACACACACACACACACACACACACACACACACACACACACACACACACACACACACACACACACACACACACACACACACACACACACACACACACACACACACACACACACACACACACACACACACACACACACACACACACACACACACACACACACACACACACACACACACACACACACACACACACACACACACACACACACACACACACACACACACACACACACACACACACACACACACACACACACACACACACACACACACAGAGATACACACACAGAGATACACCCCAAAATTATACAGGCTGTCCCCAAAAAACGTCCCATCTGGCATTTCGCCGTGTTACATCCAATTGGCCCCAAAATTGAACCAGAGGTGTACCAGACTCTAAATTACAACAATCCTAACTTATAGCCTCATAGCTATCGTGGTTCTCGAGTTATAACGAAAATACTAAGGTAAAGGGAAAAACGGAAAATAAAGTATGTTTTTGCTATAACTCGAGAACTGCTATAGCTACCGGGCTGTAAGTCAGGATTGTGTTTATTTAGGGTACGATACACCTGTCGTCCAATTTTGGGACCGATTGGATGTAACACGGCGAAATGCCAGATGGCACGTTTTTTGGGGCATATAAGGTAGGATAATTTGCAGTTGTTCGTGGATGGACCAGCGCAAGGAGTGCGCTCATTTGCGGTTGGACAAGATACAGGAATACGGATTGTTCTCGTCCAAAACTACTTGCTACAACACGCCCAACAGCTTGTCCATCGGGTATGCAGTCAACGCCTTTCTATACAGGCCTGCAAGCGCTGCCATACCAGCGCCGCAGGCGAAAAAAATCAGAAAAAAGAGGGTTCGTAACGCTCAAATTCATGCGAAAACAGCACAAAACGGCGCCGCAGTCGAAAATTTTGACCCGCAATTGATGCACTAGTAAAAATCCTTAACAAAACGGGCGACGAGCCACGTTGTACCCGTAGTCCTGATGGAATTTCGGTCTGTAATTTGGACCAGTTATGTATTCGATAGTGGCGATCACGCTCATCTTATTATCTTTACAAATTTTCTGCGTATTAGACTCAAAAAGTCACCTGGGCTACGACGCGCAAGGTCGTGCGTTCGGATCCTGCGCGAACTTAGCCTTTTGCTTTTTGTTAGTTCCGCAACAAAACAAATTTCTGGGCTCTCGGTGTGCGAGGTTAGGCCTGACCCTCGCTCTAGCGCCGCAGGCCAAAGAAAAGGCGCCTGGCTCGGGCTCTCGCGCCGCAGGCCAGATCCTGGAGAAAAACCAGTAACTAGCACCGCAGGCTCAAAGATTCTAGCACAATGCTGACTCTGGCGCCGCAGGCCAAAAAGTGGCCCCTTGACTCAGGTTCTAGCGCCGCAGACAAAAAAAACAGAAGGTATTCGAATTCATGGCTCCTGGACGGGGTCCAGTGGAAAAGGGCCGCGAAGCGGTCTTTTTCCATCGGTTAGACGATAATCGCCTAGCGTGACATATGGTGTTCGACGAGGTAATGGGGAATATGCCGCGGCAGTGTAGTTTCATTGTTCAAGAAAGGCCTTAGAACAACTCTTGAGGCGTTCTAATAGTATTTTGCACAGAAAACAGGTTCAAATCACGAAAATCAGCGGCCACGCCAAAATCTACGAGATAACCGTTATTCAGCACGCCAGGGTTGGAAATTTGCTTCGATTAGCTCTTACATTCCTTCATTTATTTCATACGCAGCGAAAGGCAATGAAAAAAAACCATGTTTGTAAACCTTTTATATTTTTTTCACCAAAGTTGCGCAAAATTCGTTTTGTGGGAGTTGCTCAAAATTTGCATGTTGCGCAAAATTCATGGTCCCACTTTTTCAGTCACCATGGCCGCACCACGAGCGGTATGCGGAAAGATTGACGGGCCCGTCGGAAGCGTTGCACCTTCGATGGTCTACACCCGCTACAGTGTGTCCACAAAAAATTGATTCCCACCACGGTCTCTTGTAACTTTGAATAGAAATATAATTCATGAAATTCCCAGCCAAAATGCTGAAACACGGCAAGAATGAGTGGACGACAGTTTGTAGTTTGTATTCCAGTTTAACCATTCCCATCAAAATTCAGACTGAAATTCCAAAAAGCAAAAAGTATGTTGCGGGCGGGGGTCGAACTCGGGTCGTCTGCGCGACAGTTTGTAGTTTGTATCCCAGTTTAACCATTCCCATCAAAATTCAGACTGAAATTCCAAAAAGCAAAAAGTATGTTGCGGGCGGGGGGTCGAACTCGGGTCGTCTGCGCGACAGTTTGTAGTTTGTATCCCAGTTTAACCATTCCCATCACTATCCAAGCCGAATGTCCAAAAAGCAAAAAGTATGTCGCGGGCGGGGGTCGAACTCGCGTCGTCTGCGCGACAGTTTGTAGTTTGTATCCCAGTTTAACCATTCCCATCAAAATTCAGACTGAAATTCGAAAAAGCAAAAAGTATGTTGCGGGCGGGGGTCGAACTCGGGTCGTCTGCGCGACAGTTTGTAGTTTGTATCCCAGTTTAACCATTCCCATCACTATCCAAGCCGAATGTCCAAAAAGCAAAAAGTATGTCGCGGGCGGGGGTCGAACTCGGGTCGTCTGCGCGACAGTTTGTAGTTTGTATTCCAGTTTAACCATTCCCATCACTATCCAAGCCCCAATTCCAAAAAGCAAAAAGTATGTCGCGGGCGGGGGTCGAACTCGGGTCGTCTGCGCGACAGTTTGTAGTTTGTATCCCAGTTTAACCATTCCCATCAGTATCCAAGCCGAATGTCCAAAAAGCAAAAAGTATGTCGCGGGCGGGGGTCGAACTCGGGTCGTCTGGTCGATAGTTTGTAGTTTGTATCCCAGTTTAACCATTCCCATCACAAACCAAACTGTAATTCCAAAAAGCAAAAAGTATGTCGCGGCCGGGGGTCGAACTCGGGTCGTCTGGTCGACAGTTTGTAGTTTGTATCCCAGTTTAACCATTCCCATCACCAACCAAACTGAAATTCCAAAAAGCAAAAAGTATGTCGCGGCCGGGGGTCGAACTCGGGTCGTCTGGTCGACAGTTTGTAGTTTGTATTCCAGTTTAACCATTCCCATCACCAACCAAACTGAAATTCCAAAAAGCAAAAAGTATGTCGCGGCCGGGGGTCGAACTCGGGTCGTCTGGTCGACAGTTTGTAGTTTGTATCCCAGTTTAACCATTCCCATCACCAACCAAACTGAAATTCCAAAAAGCAAAAAGTATGTCGCGGCCGGGGGTCGAACTCGGGTCGTCTGGTCGACAGTTTGTAGTTTGTATCCCAGTTTAACCATTCCCATCACAAACCAAAGTGTAATTCCAAAAAGCAAAAAGTATGTCGCGGCCGGGGTCGAACTCGGGTCGTCTGGTCGACAGTTTGTAGTTTGTATCCCAGTTTAACCATTCCCATCACAAACCAAAGTGTAATTCCAAAAAAGCAAAAAGTATGTCGCGGCCGGGGGTCGAACTCGGGTCGTCTGGTCGACAGTTTGTAGTTTGTATCCCAGTTTAACCATTCCCATCACAAACCAAAGTGTAATTCCAAAAAGCAAAAAGTATGTCGCGGCCGGGGGTCGAACTCGGGTCGTCTGGTCGACAGTTTGTAGTTTGTATCCCAGTTTAACCATTCCCATCACAAACCAAACTGAAATTCCAAAAAGCAAAAAGTATGTCGCGGCCGGGGGTCGAACTCGGGTCGTCTGGTCGACAGTTTGTAGTTTGTATTCCAGTTTAACCATTCCCATCACCAACCAAACTGAAATTCCAAAAAGCAAAAAGTATGTCGCGGCCGGGGGTCGAACTCGGGTCGTCTGGTCGACAGTTTGTAGTTTGTATCCCAGTTTAACCATTCCCATCACAAACCAAAGTGTAATTCCAAAAAGCAAAAAGTATGTCGCGGCCGGGGGTCGAACTCGGGTCGTCTGGTCGACAGTTTGTAGTTTGTATCCCAGTTTAACCATTCCCATCACAAACCAAAGTGTAATTCCAAAAAGCAAAAAGTATGTCGCGGCCGGGGGTCGAACTCGGGTCGTCTGGTCGACAGTTTGTAGTTTGTATCCCAGTTTAACCATTCCCATCACAAACCAAAGTGTAATTCCAAAAAGCAAAAAGTATGTCGCGGCCGGGGGTCGAACTCGGGTCGTCTGGTCGACAGTTTGTAGTTTGTATCCCAGTTTAACCATTCCCATCACAAACCAAAGTGTAATTCCAAAAAGCAAAAAGTATGTCGCGGCCGGGGGTCGAACTCGGGTCGTCTGGTCGACAGTTTGTAGTTTGTATCCCAGTTTAACCATTCCCATCACAAACCAAAGTGTAATTCCAAAAAGCAAAAAGTATGTCGCGGCCGGGGGTCGAACTCGGGTCGTCTGGTCGACAGTTTGTAGTTTGTATCCCAGTTTAACCATTCCCATCACAAACCAAAGTGTAATTCCAAAAAGCAAAAAAGTATGTCGCGGCCGGGGGTCGAACTCGGGTCGTCTGGTCGACAGTTTGTAGTTTGTATCCCAGTTTAACCATTCCCATCACAAACCAAACTGAAATTCCAAAAAGCAAAAAGTATGTCGCGGCCGGGGGTCGAACTCGGGTCGTCTGGTCGACAGTTTGTAGTTTGTATTCCAGTTTAACCATTCCCATCACCAACCAAACTGAAATTCCAAAAAGCAAAAAAGTATGTCGCGGCCGGGGGTCGAACTCGGGTCGTCTGGTCGACAGTTTGTAGTTTGTATCCCAGTTTAACCATTCCCATCACAAACCAAAGTGTAATTCCAAAAAGCAAAAAGTATGTCGCGGCCGGGGTCGAACTCGGGTCGTCTGGTCGACAGTTTGTAGTTTGTATCCCAGTTTAACCATTCCCATCACAAACCAAAGTGTAATTCCAAAAAGCAAAAAGTATGTCGCGGCCGGGGGTCGAACTCGGGTCGTCTGGTCGACAGTTTGTAGTTTGTATCCCAGTTTAACCATTCCCATCACAAACCAAAGTGTAATTCCAAAAAGCAAAAAGTATGTCGCGGCCGGGGGTCGAACTCGGGTCGTCTGGTCGACAGTTTGTAGTTTGTATCCCAGTTTAACCATTCCCATCACAAACCAAAGTGTAATTCCAAAAAGCAAAAAGTATGTCGCGGCCGGGGTCGAACTCGGGTCGTCTGGTCGACAGTTTGTAGTTTGTATCCCAGTTTAACCATTCCCATCACAAACCAAAGTGTAATTCCAAAAAGCAAAAAAGTATGTCGCGGCCGGGGGTCGAACTCGGGTCGTCTGGTCGACAGTTTGTAGTTTGTATCCCAGTTTAACCATTCCCATCACCAACCAAACTGAAATTCCAAAAAGCAAAAAGAGAGTGTGTGAGAGTGTATTTTTTGGGAACGACCGACTCGCTGGAATGTGATAGTATTTATTGCGTAAAAGCGGGGGGACCGTGTGTGGGGGCCATGGGCCGGATGGTGCGGTGAAGCAGATTAAACGGTATTGAAGGGGGATATCGTCGACGAATTCCATCGAAGTCGCAGCCGGTCTGCTGGTTCGTTGGTATGGAGAGTGGTGCCGTACACATTAGGTGCCGGCCATGGTTCCTCAAATGGTGGATCGTAGAACAAACCCAGGCCAAACTCTAGTTTACCCCCCCGCCCTGCCCTGGCTTTTCACTGTCCCCCCCCCCACACGAAAGCTAGGCTCCGTACGGGCTTGATGATGACTAAAAAAAGCACTCCTGGTCCAGCGGTTGCGCCGCCGGCTCAATGAGGGGACCAGTGTTGTTCAAAAGGTTCCGGGACCGGGTCCGTCCGCGTCCCCCGACGTTCGGGTGGCACGCCAATTGTATTGAACCAGCGCTGACCCCCCGCTCCGCGGGGGTTCAGCGCTACCCTACGCTACGCCCTACGCCTACGCTACGCCCGCTAACCCCTTTTGGTTTGAGATACCCCCCATAAGACTCTTTTGGGGTCCTTTTCCGGATTTAAAAAAGAACGAGGCATCGAATCGGAAAACTTAATACACGATCGGAACCGGCGACACTTTTTGCATACTATAAGCTTTTAAAATTTCAAAAAAAGTTAGATTTCGAATTTTGGCTCTATACCGGTAACGGGGTCCTTAAAAAAAATAAGGGTCCTTAATAAAAATAAGGGTCCTTAACAAAAATAAGGGTCCTTAGAATTTCAGGTTAAGGACCCCTGTCCCGACAGGGGTCCTTAAAGTAGATGCTATTTTTAAGGACCCCGATTCCGGCAACTCCCGAAAATACAGTATTTTCGCCGTTTTTGCGGAGACGCGGATTCGCGAAAGATTGTCCTTTGTTTCGCATTTTGAATTACACCCCGTTTGTGCCTAAAAATAAGGCTTCGTGCCACCCGGGGCCTAGTCGCTTCGGATGGGTGCGAGCTCGTACAGGGTTTCGAAATCGGGGCGCCCGAGGAGCGCGTAGCGGCCAGGCGCCTCGATTTTGGAAGAGTGGAGCGGCAGCCCATCCGAAGCGACGGCCCACCTTGCCTGACATGCCATAAGCGTCAAATTGTCCCTGGCTAAAAAAACTAGCACGTCGGGTTGCGTGGAAATTTCTGTGGGGATGAGCACGATTTCAGGCTTATGGCGTGTCAGGCAAGGTGGGCCGTCGCTTCGGATGGGCTGCCGCTCCACTCTTCCGAAATGGGGGCGCCCCCGGCCGCTTCGCCGGCCTTGGCGCCCCGGTTTCGAAACCCTGTACGAGCTCGCACCCATCCGAAGCGACTAGGCCCCGGGTGCCACAAAGCCTTATTTTTAGGCACAAACTGTGTGTAAGAGGGTCGCGTAATTTAAGTAGCTAAACGAGGCACAATCTGTGCACAATCGGCGAAAATACTGTATTTTCGGGAGTTGCCGGAATCGGGGTCCTTAAAAATAGCATCTACTTTAAGGACCCCTGTCGGGACAGGGGTCCTTAACCTGAAATTCTAAGGACCCTTATTTTTGTTAAGGACCCTTATTTTTATTAAGGACCCTTATTTTTTTAAAGGGCTGCCGACGGCATGTGTCGATCCCCCCCCATCAACAAATTGGCAAATAGCCAACAGGGCAGAGAGCGCGCCCTGGGGAGAGGCGCAGAGACATTTTCTTTCCAGCGCGTAACCGATTGACTATGCCGTCGGCATCCCTTTAAGGACCCTTATTTTTTTTAAGGACCCCGTTACCGGTATAGAGCCCGAATTTTAACAGCCGATTTAAGTTGCGTTTCGAGGGGGGGTCTGCGTTTGTATGTCTGTATGTTTGTACGCAAAACCTATGTAGTCGTCAAAAAGTGCCTTCCCATCATCCGTTCTGGCTGAAATTTTCCACATATATCGACTTTATGTAAATGAAGGTGAGGAAGAAGCGTTTTTTTCAAAGTAGGTTTTTAAAAAATTTATATTTAATTTTTAAGTTCAAAAGCTAGATTGCGGCCAAAACAAGGGTTAGTGATGTCGGTTTGGGCTGAAATTTTGCTAAAATATGCATTAGACCTTGCCGGACGAAGTAAAGAAGAAATTGCTTCGAAAGAATGCTTCTCCTTTGAGATATTTTAACTTTAAACCATCGCGATACGGGGCGCCACCCTCCCCTTTCATCGCCCCCAGTCCCCAGTCAGGGGGCGGGTCAAGCGCGCCCAAGACAGGCCACGAGTCTCCCGGTTGGCCTAGTGGTTAGCACGGCTGTACTGGGATGACTCGGCTCCCGAGTTCGAACCCCACCCGAAACATCGTTTTTGCCGATTGGCCCCCTGCATCCGTATGGTTTCTATTGCACCCACAAAACGCCGCAGGCGAATTTTTTTGAAGTTTTGCGTACAAGGGTTCATCTGAATCATAATCCGATGACTTATTTGATGATCTTAACAACAAGATTGAGACAAAAAGGGCTAAATTCTCTCTAAGGCTAAAAAGAGTCTTTTCAAAAAAGGGCTTTTGGTTTTCGCAAAAAGAGACGAATTCTCGTGGCAACAAAAAGTGCTAAATTCCTTTCAAACTCTGAAAAATTCCACAAAATGTGGGATCAACCAAAAGTTGCTGGCATTTTATTAAAAGGGACAGACGCGTTTTTAGCCGTTTCGGCTTATAAATAAATTTCTGTATTATGATCCATTTTCTTGAAATTAATCTGTGGACCTGTAATTTTAATTAATGTAATAACTGTAATTAACCTGTAATCTAAAGCAGTCCCGAGTTTATTAAGTTTTTAATTAGCCAGCAGCTTTTTGTTGTTCCCCATTCTGTGGCATTTTTCAGAGGTTGAAAGGAATTTAGCCCTTTTTGTTGCCACGAGAACTTGTCTCTTTTTGCGAAAACCAAAAGCCCTTTTTTGAAAAGACTCGTTTTAGCCTTAGAGAGATAGTAGATTGAATTTCCGTGATTTGAATAGTGGACGCATGCAGTCCGACAGACCCACCCAGCGTCCGAGGGTCCGCGTCCGGGCGGGTCTGTCCGGAGCAGGACGCGTCCGTCCGCGTCCGCAATCTGCATGCCGGACCGGACTGGTCCGGACGCCTCCGGACCCGGACGGACCGGGACCCAAAAAGAACAGCCCTGGAGAGGACTAAAGTCAGCAGCCAAAGATTCTAGCCTAACCCAAGCTCTCGCGCCGCAGGCTTCAAAAACGGCAAGAGAATTCATGATTCCTAAACCGAGTCCAGTGGAGAAGGGGCGCGAAGCGGCCTTTTCAACTGGTCAGAAATTCACGTTAGTCGAGGGATACCTGTTCGATTAGCCGTTGAGCGTGTTCCTCGGCGTCATTGAGCGCGAGCATTATCCGAATGCCCGTCGCCCACACGGTCGTCCCTCTTCCCGGCAGGCGGCTGCGAGCACTGCCCACGCTATCCACCACGTACATCTGTAGACAGTTAGGGTTACTTTCGAAATGTCGAATTTTTGTATAAGTAAACAACCCCGAAATTTTTATTTAGGTAAATCAACCGAAGAAAACAAACCTCGAACGCTTTTATAAAATGGCGGAGGAACGGTGTCAAAACCCGAAAAACCGCACCGCAGGCAAAATTTTGGCAAAATTAGCTAAGAAAAACCCGGGGATTGAAGCAAATGCACTTTTGAAGCGAAATTTCGATGCAACGACTGAAAAATGGTGACGAGGCGCTATTCTTGCCTGAAGAGGGTATGAAGGTGGTGAGATATTGAAGGTATCGATTAGTCGATTCAACATCACATCCATTTCGCGCTGATATTCGGCACGATCCTCCTGAATTTGTATCTTGCAAAAGGGGCAGGCTAGCAGAGATCCTTTGAGAAACGGAGGAACGGAAGGAGGCAAGGGTAACAGAAATTCCTTCACGGTTGAAGCTGGATACCTGTGACACGTCGTCCACGTAGCGCAGAGTGCGAAATGCGATAACTTGTCGCGGCGCGCTGGATTGCGTATTCTAAAAAATAGAAAGCATGAGAATATGCTGCCCCCCGCCTTTGACCGTCTTCCATCCGATCGGGACCAAATTTTTACCACTGAAGGGACCCCATAAAAACCATGTGTTGCCAAATTTTCGCAGCGAAATATTGTAAAACTAAAAAGTTATCGTTCAAAAACCGATTTTTTTTTTTGGGAAACGCTTTAACGATAACTTTTTAGATTTGCAATATTTTGCTTCGAAAATTTGGCAGCACATGGTTTTTATGGGGTCCCATCAGTGGTAAAAGTTTGGTCCCGATTGGATGGAAGACGGTCAAGTGTCGAAGGGGGGGACACCCTGTATGTGGCAATACCTTAACAATCTCTCGAATGAGTTGCTCGATCACTGTCAGCGATCCGAGGCAGTCCGATTTTTCGTGATACATTTGATTGAGGCGCAGACGCGGCACCGTCCTCAACTGCAACGATCGATGTGGCGGGGGATATTTAATGGTGCGAGCCTGTGGTGGGGGATACCTTTGGAAGGGCGTGCATATAGATGTCCAAGTAATCGGCTGGAGAATATGAGGCGCCGGCCGGCCAAAGGCAAAGCTGAAAAACAAAGGTGGGTTTATGGCGTTGAAGTGGAGGGATTTGGCGTTAAAACGGGCCTTGAGACATTCGTGGTCAAAACTGGTGGCCGGTGTCTGTTGGGGCGGGCAGGGGGGAGGTACTGACACGGCAAGTGTCTGTCTCCTCAATGTCACCGACACACGACCGACAAATGAAATACGGTCAACACGATGCCTGTCGGCATCGTGTTCACCGAATTTCATTTGATTTTTCAACCAATTTTGGGACGGACCTGAGCCCGTGGCCTCAGATACATTCCTTGTGAGGCTAGGAATCTCTCCGAACCTGGTATGGGCGTATCCCTGGAGCAACCCAGTGGCTGCGTCGGAAGTAGCTGAAATGACAACACCATCTCTCTCTCTCTCTCTCTCTCTCTCTCTCTCTCTCTCTCTCTCTCTCTCTTGCTCCTCTCTCTCTCTCTTGATCATCTCTCTCTCTCTTGCTCCTCTCTCTCCCCCTCTCTCTCTCTCTCTCTCGCTCTCTGTCGGCTCACTATATTCCGCGTCGGATCCACAGCCCGAATGGTCCAAAGAGCGCCGGTATAGCAACGTGAAATCGACGGAAGATGTGCATGGCATCGACGGCGGCTCGTGGGCGAAGATTCTAGGAATCATTCAAATTAAAGGAGCCATGAAATCTGGTCCAGCCTCCGCCCTCATTCCTGGCAAATAGCCAGGCAGGGCCGCACAGCGACCGCGTCCTATGTCTTTTAGCCCCTGTTTAGAGGCGAAAACGCGTGGATTAGCAAATTCTTTGAACCCACCCGTGTACTCGTCCCAACGTGCACACCCTATGGACGTAGGGACCGCGCGCCCCGCTTGCCCTTGGCGTGGAAGGCGATTCCTCTCCTTTCCGGGGTTCTCCCCCACCCCTCGCCAGGTTGCACCTCTGGCCGACCGGTATGCGTCCGCGCCTCACGAACGGCAGACCCGGGTTCGACCCCCGGCCGCGGCAAAAATGTATGCTTCGAAGGGCCCCGAAACTGTCTTTTGCCACTGGGCCCCATAAAAACTACATCATTACCCATCTTTGGCGCAGTGTGACGGGATGGGAGGGCAGGATCGCGGTGAATTTGTCGAGCATTTGCAGGCAACGGCTGCCATCAAGTGCCAACGTCGTTTGAAAGCCCGAAATCACTTCGACCGGATAGGTAGATTTGGGTTTCGTCAGGAAACAGACGAAACGATGCAAAGCCGCGGGGTCCTCGATTGACACCCCGATGCCGAGGCAGGCATGCGAATCACCGGCCGCATCTGAATTAGAAGATTTGTTACCAGAATCACGAAGATCGGAAACGAACAACGGCTTGACTAAAATTTGAACGGTGGCGGTGAAATGAACTTCGGTACTTTGGTACCAGCTCTCGTAATATCACAAGTCCCACTCGATCAAGCATACTGTAAAAAAGATCTCCATAAAGTATCTCTCTTCTCTTTCTCTCTCTGCTTCTCCCCCCCTCTCTCTCTCCGTCCCTCTCTCTCTCTCTCTCTCTCTCTCTCTCTCCGTCTCTCTCTCTCTCTCTCACCTGTCCTTTGTTCGACCTTGAACTGGATGAGGTTGCAATGCTGTAAATTACTATTAAGGGAGGAGGAATGGCAGCACCGAGCCAATGTAGATGCAAACGAATCGATATCTGCAGCGGAGTAGAAATACGGGCGCCGAAAGAGACGAGCAGGAGAATATCTAAAAAAAATTATGAAAGATCGGCTCGAAATGCAAGAATAGCGCATGTTTACGATGCAAATTGCCAGATCCCCATATTAAAAGGCCGTTTGCGAGCCAACCGAATAGAGACTGGGAATAGATTTTTTTGGGCGGGGGCGGGGGGTCTTTTTTGGAAAACCCTGTAGTCGGGCCAGGGTTGAGAAAAGTTGGTCCCTCGCCCCATAATCAAAATAGCCTCTCCCTCCCTCTCGCTCTCTCTCGCTCTCTCTCTCTCGTTTATAAAGGACTAACCTTTGAAGTGGTACGGAGCAATGCTTTTGTCTCAAAAGTGAGATGACCATTGACGAGATGTTGGAGACGAGATGGCAATTTGCGATACGGTAGCATCGGGGTACGGTTGAGAGGGGATGGCGATTGCATTCTGAAAAAGGGTATCGAGAGAGATTGACAGAGAGAGAAAGAGCGAGAGAGAGAGAGAGAGAGAGAGAGAGAGAGAGAGCGAGGGAGGGAGAGGCTATTTTGATTATGGGGAGATTTTCATCCGAAAAGCATAGGCCGATTCATTGCAGACCGGCCCAACCGTGCCTAGGCCTGAGCCAAATCAAACACACACACAGAAACAGCCCAAAAATTATATAAGGTAGAATCTACAGGGTGTCCCAACCCCCCCCTCGGCATTTCGCCGTCTTTTATCCGATCCGGACCAAATATTTATCAGCGACCGGGAACCTTAAAAACCACGTGCCGCCGAATTTTCTCAGCAAAACATTGTAAAACAGAAAGGATTATTTTGCGAAATTAAGCTTTATTTTGCCAATTTCACCAGAATTTTGACGGATTTCGACCTCGGAAATGTTGAGCAAAAACGAAGAGGGAACTTTTTTCCATCCGGCGAAATTTCTTGATTTATGCCAATTACCTCCAAATTGGGATTTTCATCACTCCTTATTATCAAAATTGGTAGAAACCGACCCGGAAATGACCATTTTTCAAAGAATTTGGCCAAGTGCCGGGGTCGGGGGGGGGAGATTGGGACGGGACGGGAATCTGTCAGAATCTCGAATTTTCAGAATCTCGATTTTCCAGAATCTCCATGATAATGCCTATGCTGGATTCAGAGCGTAGGCGTGTAATTTCCAGAGCCTTCAATGCTGATTTAAACCATCGAAATTTCCAGTATCTGATAGGCATATAAAAAATAGTGTTTGTGTGTGTGTGTGCCACTTTGCATGCAACTTCCGTCAGCGTGTTCCAGCAGTATCTCAAGAAGGAGAGTAGCTAGGGGCATGTTTGATGCATCATTAGGTGCGTAATGGTCTGGGGATCCCTGCACGCATATCAGATTTATCAAAATCGCCTATTTTCGACATTAAATTTTAGTTTTCGTTGAAAAATCCGAGACCCTCTTTGTTAGGAAGCAATTAGCATACACCGGAAATGGGGAGAGCCTATATAAAGTAGCAGAGAGCGCATTTTTCATTTTTTTTCAGCATGGGTCGGCCCGAATTATGCAAAGTAAAAACTTTCATTGGTCGAAAACGGGGCCAGGGTTGAAAAGTCGCGAAGCGGCTTTTCAACTCTGGTCTGATAGACATTTGGTTGGGACACCCTGTAGGTGGGCATGAAGAATGAAAGATGTAGCTGACCTCTGAGAGAACTGACCTCTCTGGGGAACAAACTCCATTTCCCAGTCAATAAATATACCCTCAGGTGTTATTTTCCCAGTCCGTGGGGATCACATCTGCTCTCCCCCACCCGACCCCGGCTCTGGAATAGACCGACACGCGACGCGAACGCACTGGCACGCACCAGGCCAAATTCCGAAAAGCAACATTCTGCCAAGAGACAGCCGTTTATCCGGCCAATTCGATGCCCTAATCGATGAGGCCTCAAAACTTAGCTCGCAAAATCTTGAAGACTAGTCGGCTCGACTTTCCCAATCGATTGCCCCATGCAAATGACCGCAGTATTTGGGGATGGAGCCACAGGTTGGCATCTGTTTACGCGATGGAAAGCGGCGGCGTTTGGTTACGAGCAGGGACCTCGCGACACGCCAATTTAACGTTCCCATCACAATCCAAACTGAAACCAGCCCTGACCCTCCTCCCCCACAATTTGGATTTTTAATTGGTTGAATTGGCTTTTGTCTTGGCTGAATTCCCGGTCGCACGGACGGACCGACATTCGAAATTTTTATATAGTAGAATTCCAAAAAGCAAAAAGTATGTCGCGGGCGGGGGTCGAACTCGGGTCATCTGGTCGATAGTTTGTAGTCTGTATCCCAGTTTAACCATTCCCATCACCAATCAAACTGATATTCCAAAAAGCAAAAAGTATGTCGCGGGCGGGGTTCGAACTCGGGTCATCTGGTCGATAGTTTGTAGTCTGTATCCCAGTTTAACCATTCCCATCACCAATCAAACTGAAATTCCAAAAAGCAAAAAGTATGTCGCGGGCGGGGGTCGAACTCGGGTCATCTGGTCGATAGTTTGTAGTCTGTATCCCAGTTTAACCATTCCCATCACCAATCAAACTGAAATTCCAAAAAGCAAAAAGTATGTCGCGGGCGGGGTTCGAACTCGGGTCATCTGGTCGATAGTTTGTAGTCTGTATCCCAGTTTAACCATTCCCATCACCAATCAAACTGAAATTCCAAAAAGCAAAAAAGTATGTCGCGGGCGGGGTTCGAACTCGGGTCATCTGGTCGATAGTTTGTAGTCTGTATCCCAGTTTAACCATTCCCATCACCAATCAAACTGAAATTCCAAAAAGCAAAAAGTATGTCGCGGGCGGGGTTCGAACTCGGGTCATCTGGTCGATAGTTTGTAGTCTGTATCCCAGTTTAACCATTCCCATCACCAATCAAACTGAAATTCCAAAAAGCAAAAAGTATGTCGCGGGCGGGGTTCGAACTCGGGTCATCTGGTCGATAGTTTGTAGTCTGTATCCCAGTTTAACCATTCCCATCACCAATCAAACTGAAATTCCAAAAAGCAAAAAAGTATGTCGCGGGCGGGGGTTCGAACTCGGGTCATCTGGTCGATAGTTTGTAGTCTGTATCCCAGTTTAACCATTCCCATCACCAATCAAACTGAAATTCCAAAAGCAAAAAGTATGTCGCGGGCGGGGTTCGAACTCGGGTCATCTGGTCGATAGTTTGTAGTCTGTATCCCAGTTTAACCATTCCCATCACAAGCCAAAGTGAAATTCCAAAAAGCAAAAAGTATGTCGCGGGCGGGGTTCGAACTCGGGTCATCTGGTCGATAGTTTGTAGTCTGTATCCCAGTTTAACCATTCCCATCACCAATCAAACTGAAATTCCAAAAAGCAAAAAGTATGTCGCGGGCGGGGTTCGAACTCGGGTCATCTGGTCGATAGTTTGTAGTCTGTATCCCAGTTTAACCATTCCCATCACCAATCAAACTGAAATTCCAAAAAGCAAAAAAGTATGTCGCGGGCGGGGTTCGAACTCGGGGTCATCTGGTCGATAGTTTGTAGTCTGTATCCCAGTTTAACCATTCCCATCACCAATCAAACTGATATTCCAAAAAGCAAAAAGTATGTCGCGGGCGGGGTTCGAACTCGGGTCATCTGGTCGATAGTTTGTAGTCTGTATCCCAGTTTAACCATTCCCATCACCAATGAAACTGAAATTCCAAAAAGCAAAAAGTATGTCGCGGGCGGGGTTCGAACTCGGGTCATCTGGTCGATAGTTTGTAGTTTGTATCCCAGTTTAACCATTCCCATCACAAGCCAAAGTGAAATTCCAAAAAGCAAAAAGTATGTCGCGGGCGGGGGTCGAACTCGGGTCATCTGGTCGATAGTTTGTAGTCTGTATCCCAGTTTAACCATTCCCATCACCAATCAAACTCAAATTCCAAAAAGCAAAAAGTATGTCGCGGGCGGGGTTCGAACTCGGGTCATCTGGTCGATAGTTTGTAGTCTGTATCCCAGTTTAACCATTCCCATCACCAATCAAACTCAAATTCCAAAAAGCAAAAAGTATGTCGCGGGCGGGGGTCGAACTCGGGTCATCTGGTCGATAGTTTGTAGTCTGTATCCCAGTTTAACCATTCCCATCACCAATCAAACTGAAATTCTAAAAAGCAAAAAGTATGTCGCGGGCGGGGGTCGAACTCGGGTCATCTGGTCGATAGTTTGTAGTCTGTATCCCAGTTTAACCATTCCCATCACCAATCAAACTGATATTCCAAAAAGCAAAAAGTATGTCGCGGGCGGGGTTCGAACTCGGGTCATCTGGTCGATAGTTTGTAGTCTGTATCCCAGTTTAACCATTCCCATCACCAATCAAACTGAAATTCCAAAAAAGCAAAAAGTATGTCGCGGGCGGGGGTCGAACTCGGGTCATCTGGTCGATAGTTTGTAGTCTGTATCCCAGTTTAACCATTCCCATCACCAATCAAACTGATATTCCAAAAAGCAAAAAGTATGTCGCGGGCGGGGGTCGAACTCGGGTCATCTGGTCGATAGTTTGTAGTCTGTATCCCAGTTTAACCATTCCCATCACCAATCAAACTGAAATTCCAAAAAGCAAAAAAGTATGTCGCGGGCGGGGTTCGAACTCGGGTCATCTGGTCGATAGTTTGTAGTCTGTATCCCAGTTTAACCATTCCCATCACAAGCCAAAGTGAATTCCCAAAAAGCAAAAAGTATGTCGCGGGCGGGGGTCGAACTCGGGTCATCTGGTCGATAGTTTGTAGTCTGTATCCCAGTTTAACCATTCCCATCACCAATCAAACTGAAATTCCAAAAAGCAAAAAGTTTGTCGCGGGCGGGGGTCGAACTCGGGTCATCTGGCCGATAGTTTGTAGTCTGTATCCCAGTTTAACCATTCCCATCACCAATCAAACTGATATTCCAAAAAGCAAAAAGTATGTCGCGGGCGGGGGTCGAACTCGGGTCATCTGGTCGATAGTTTGTAGTCTGTATCCCAGTTTAACCATTCCCATCACAAGCCAAAGTGAATTCCCAAAAAGCAAAAAGTATGTCGCGGGCGGGGGTCGAACTCGGGTCATCTGGTCGATAGTTTGTAGTCTGTATCCCAGTTTAACCATTCCCATCACCAATCAAACTGATATTCCAAAAAGCAAAAAGTATGTCGCGGGCGGGGGTCGAACTCGGGTCATCTGGTCGATAGTTTGTAGTCTGTATCCCAGTTTAACCATTCCCATCACAAGCCAAAGTGAATTCCCAAAAAGCAAAAAGTATGTCGCGGGCGGGGTTCGAACTCGGGTCATCTGGTCGATAGTTTGTAGTCTGTATCCCAGTTTAACCATTCCCATCACCAATCAAACTGAAATTCCAAAAAAGCAAAAAAGTTTGTCGCGGGCGGGGTTCGAACTCGGGTCATCTGGTCGATAGTTTGTAGTCTGTATCCCAGTTTAACCATTCCCATCACAAGCCAAAGTGAATTCCCCAAAAAGCAAAAAGTATGTCGCGGGCGGGGGTCGAACTCGGGTCATCTGGTCGATAGTTTGTAGTCTGTATCCCAGTTTAACCATTCCCATCACCAATCAAACTGAAATTCCAAAAAGCAAAAAGTTTGTCGCGGGCGGGGTTCGAACTCGGGTCATCTGGTCGATAGTTTGTAGTCTGTATCCCAGTTTAACCATTCCCATCACAAGCCAAAGTGAATTCCCAAAAAGCAAAAAGTATGTCGCGGGCGGGGGTCGAACTCGGGTCATCTGGTCGATAGTTTGTAGTTTGTATCCCAGTTTAACCATTCGCATCACCAATCAAACTGAAATTCCCAAAAAGCAAAAAGTATGTCGCGGGCGGGGGTCGAACTCGGGTCATCTGGTCGATAGTTTGTAGTCTGTATCCCAGTTTAACCATTCCCATCACCAATCAAACTGAAATTCCAAAAAGCAAAAAGTATGTCGCGGGCGGGGGTCGAACTCGGGTCATCTGGTCGATAGTTTGTAGTTTGTATCCCAGTTTAACCATTCGCATCACCAATCAAACTGAAATTCCAAAAAGCAAAAGGTATGTCGCGGGCGGGGTTCGAACTCGGGTCATCTGGTCGATAGTTTGTAGTCTGTATCCCAGTTTAACCATTCCCATCACCAATCAAACTGAAATTCCAAAAAGCAAAAAGTATGTCGCGGGCGGGGGTCGAACTCGGGTCATCTGGTCGATAGTTTGTAGTTTGTATCCCAGTTTAACCATTCGCATCACCAATCAAACTGAAATTCCAAAAAGCAAAAAAGTATGTCGCGGGCGGGGGTCGAACTCGGGTCATCTGGTCGATAGTTTGTAGTTTGTATCCCAGTTTAACCATTCGCATCACCAATCAAACTGAAATTCCAAAAAGCAAAAAAGTATGTCGCGGGCGGGGTTCGAACTCGGGTCATCTGGTCGATAGTTTGTAGTCTGTATCCCAGTTTAACCATTCCCATCACCAATCAAACTGAAATTCCAAAAAGCAAAAAAGTATGTCGCGGGCGGGGTTCGAACTCGGGTCATCTGGTCGATAGTTTGTAGTTTGTATCCCAGTTTAACCATTCGCATCACCAATCAAACTGAAATTCCAAAAAGCAAAAAGTATGTCGCGGGCGGGGTTCGAACTCGGGTCATCTGGTCGATAGTTTGTAGTCTGTATCCCAGTTTAACCATTCCCATCACCAATCAAACTGAAATTCCAAAAAGCAAAAAGTATGTCGCGGGCGGGGTTCGAACTCGGGTCATCTGGTCGATAGTTTGTAGTCTGTATCCCAGTTTAACCATTCCCATCACCAATCAAACTGAAATTCCAAAAAGCAAAAAGTATGTCGCGGGCGGGGGTCGAACTCGGGTCATCTGGTCGATAGTTTGTAGTCTGTATCCCAGTTTAACCATTCCCATCACAAGCCAAAGTGAATTTCCAAAAAGCAAGGCGGGCAGCGCAATATTTCCAATGGGAAAAGCGGAGAACGTAATAGTTCTAGTTCAATTTCGGCCTAGTTCAAAGCAGTATAGCGAATAATTGCATTGTTGCAGTTATTGTGTTGTCAGCAAGTTGTGAAAGCGAAGAATTAGTGGGCACCGAGGTGCCAAACAAAATGCGAAACACCCAAAGAATGCCTGCTGTGTCCTCCAAGTAGCGGTATTCCAATCCAAAGGGTCGTAGCCAAGATCAAGAATCCTCCTGTAGATCTACAAACAACTCTCTACGCCAGAAATGACGTCTGAAGATCCGCTTAATGTGTTGGAGTGTATAAAACTGGAAACGGAAGTCATACGTTTGTTTATTCGCGCAGTTGATAAAAATGAGATGAGGGAGAAGGAACGGAGATGTCGGGCGAGTTCGAGCACAAGAGGGCAACCACCGAGACTCAAATCGAGAATTTTCAGATAAAATCGGGATTTGGGTGGATTTCGACATGGTAACAATAAAATACAAAGTTCTGGCCATAGAATTTAGTAAAGTGGGGCGAGGGCGAGATATTTGGCTCTATTTGCTTGTTTTCATCATAAAAAGCTTAATATCGATCATAAAAAAATTTCGACTACACAGAAAGATGGGCCTTGCAAGGGCTACGAGATGTGTATGCTTAGCTGGGCTGGAAAATACGACGGCGCGAAGTTAAAGGTGAAAAACCCAGTGGCTCTATCTTTTTGATACGCACTGTAGAAGTTCAACACGCCTTTAGGAACGCATTTCTGAAGCGTGGAATGATACAAAATTGCGCCGGGCTCATGAATAGCCGAATAGAATTGAAGCCGAATAACGAAACCCGGATCGTGGTGTAAAATCCCGCTCGTAAACGTTCAAAATGCGTTGTTTGGAGGAGGGGTCAAAGGTCGGGGCGAAAAGAGACATTTTGAAATAGATCAAAAGGGCAGAAACGAGTCACAAACACTATACTCTTTGATCACCATCGTCATCGCTCAGGTATTCGGCCAGCTCGGTATCGTGAGGCGTGAACATCGTGTCGCGCAACTCCTTCGTAGCGGCCTAAATTCAATGTGTGCTCAATGAAAACAGAAATGATTCAATTCAATAGATATGAGCGTTAAAAAACCGACCTTAAAGCCAAACTGGCGCACAAATGCGCAAACTTGAGCCGCTTCGGTGGCGGTGTCTCGCTCTTCCGTGATCTTGTCGAACAGGCGTTTGACGATCGGCTCGATTTCCTCGCGTTTGATAACGACTTTGTTATCTTCCAAGACGACAACCATTGGCGCTGCCAGCGAGTAGAGGAAAAGGGCTGTGCAGCTTGGTTTCCCCAGGTTGCTCTCGTAGCCTTCTTGCTTCATGTGGTCTCGTTCCGGGACGAGTCGACGGGCGGCCTGATCATAGTCATCCATGTAGTCCTGGAAAAAATATAGTAAATACGGGCTACCGAGTAGTGATATATATTAAGAAAGATAAATAGTCAAAAAAAACTTACGTCGGAATCCTTTTCCAAAAGTCGCCGGATCTCGTCATCGCGAGTAGCCTCGTCTTGAGGGCCCATTCCGGCTTCTTTGAGAACGTCGATCACTTTGCTCACGTCGAAGCGCCTCGACTCTAGCTCGTGGAAAACGGCCAGGTAGGCGGCTCTCGTTTTCGCCTCATTGAGCCCTATGAGCGGTTCTTGAGAATCTTCGTCGAGGAACGCCATTACCCTGGAAAAGTAAACTGTATAAAACCTCAACACAATGGTATAAAATCGCGAGAGATGCCGAGCTTACAGGAAAAGGAATCGGAGATTTCTATGAGAGACACGCAGTTTTAGAAAAAAATTTGAAATTTGAAATTTTCGAAATGATTACGATTCTTTTTCCACCGGAGAAGAAATCCTAACGTCATTTGGTGTATCGTGTACGCGACATTCCGACTTTTTATTTTTTCATTTTGATGCGCGCCAGGGATTTTATCGGTGGGTTGAGGGACGTAGGCTACGCATAGGTACGGGTGATTTTGTTTTGCAGCTTTTCACGATTCCTGCTTCTTGCGCGCGCAATTTCCTTTTTTTCATCAAATTTTGTTGTTTCCGTTTCAAAAACCTGCAAAAATTGTTCAAACACGTATTTTTTTAATGAAATTCGTGTTCTGCGTCTTTACTTTCCTTGGAAATGTTTTTTTGCCCGATATTTTTTGTGTAAATACTTCTGGATCGAAATTTATAGTTTTCATGAAAACTTTTCTTGTCGCGTTCGTTTTTTTCTCGTGCTTTTACTTGCCTAATCTTGTTTTTCAGGTAATGACGCTTCGGCTCGTCCTCACGCCGTGGCCGCCGCCCTCGTCGCCGCCAAATATGAAGATCGGGGTACTCGAGAAGGGCACCATCGTGGCCGATCTAAAGAGGTTGAAATATTTGGCACATTATTGAATTTCTGATTTTAGCATCACCCTCTTCTCGAAATCTGCCGAAAAAATGGGTCGTCTCGGCGGGCCAGCGCCTCTACATCGCCTTCAATGTGATGACCAAGGGAACGAAAGAGGCGCTGCGACCACATCAGGTTAGAATCTTTGAAAAAAACCCTTCTAAACTTTCTTTTTTAGGTATTCGTCCTCCTCGAGCACGCCGAAACAAGCGCGAACATCGTCTTCGTCGCGGATTTGCAAAAGGACGGCACCTACATTTCCGACATTGTACGTTTGCCTTTTTTCTGACTTGATTTCTTCTTTTTAGGACATGAACAAAGTGGGCGCCGACTTTGACGGTCACTGCGGCAAATTTCACGCCCGCCTCATCATCGGGGATTCCACCATCAAGAACGCGATTGATTGGAACTTTGTAACAAACCGCGTTTTTCGTTTTTTATTTCCATTTCCAGGCCGATATCGACATTGCCACCCCGCCCACTCCAATAGGATTTGTGAAGAAAAGTGAACAGGTATCGCAATTCCTTTTTGACAAATTCCAATTTTCAGGTGTTCTTCGAGCCGCTGCCCTCAATCACCCATCAATTTCGCCAGCCCGCAAAACGACCGCCGGGCATCGTTTCCGGTAATTTTCGCGTTTTGTGCCTAAAAAACCCTTTTTAGATGCTTTCACACTGCTCTGCTTGGCGCCGCTCAAAACGGCATTTGGCCGTTCCTCAGCGCTGAGGATAGTGGCCGGGCAAGCCCTGGCCGCCACAGCGCTCCAAACGACACCCCCCAACAGCCACTGCATTTGCAAGCGTGGCGTTTGCAGCCATATCTTTATCATTTCCGTATTTTCGCATTTTTGAAAGCCAAAATGCGTAAATTCTTTCACGCGCGTTGCTAGCTCTCATTTGCCGATTCTTTTTTCTTGTTCTCCCCTTCTTTTTCTTCGCCTTTCTTCTCCCGCCCCTCTTTTACGCTTTACTTTTCAGGTAATGAAGCTGCCGCTCGTCCTTCTCGCCTTGGCCGCCGCCATCGTCTCCGCCAAGGAGCCAAGCGTCGACAACTTCAAGGTCGGCGTGCTCGAGAAGGGTGCCGATGTGGCCGATCTAAAGAGGTTGAAATATTTGGCAAATTATTCAATTTCTGATTTTAGCATCACCCTCTTCTCGAAATCTGCCGAAAAATGGGTCGTCTCGGCGAGCCAGCGTCTCTACATCGCCTTCAATGTGATGACTAAGGGAACGAAGGAGGCGCTGCGACCACATCAGGTTAGAATCTTTGAAAAAGCCTTCTAAACTTTCTTTTTTAGGTATTCGTCCTCCTCGAGCACGCCGAAACAAGCGCGGACATCGTCTTCGTCGCCGATTTGCAAAAGGACGGCACCTACATTTCCGACATTGTACGTTTGCCTTTTTCCGACTTTATTTCTTCTTTTTAGGACATGAACAAAGTGGGCGCCGACTTTGACGGTCACTGCGGCAAATTTCACGCCCGCCTCATCATCGGGGATGCCACCATCAAGAACCCGATTGATTGGAACTTTGTAAGAAATCGCGTTTTTCTCTTTTTATTTGCATTTCCAGGCCGATATCGACATTGCCGCCCCGCCCACTCCAATAGGATTTGTGAAGAAAAGTGAACAGGTATCGCAATTCCTTTTTGACGAATTCCAATTTTCAGGTGTTCTTCGAGCCGCTGCCCTCAATCACCCATCAATTTCGCCAGCCCGAAAAACGACCGCCGGGCATCGTTTCCGGTAATTTTCGCGTTTTGTGCCTAAAAAACCCTTTCTAGATGCTTTCACACTGCTCTGCTTGGCGCCGCTCAAAACGGCATTTGGCCGTTCCTCAGCGCTGAGGATAGTGGCCGGGCAAGCCCTGGCCGCCACAGCGCTCCAATCGACACCCCCCAACAGCCACTCACTCCATTTGCAAGCGTGGCGTTTGCAGCCATATCTTTATCATTTCCGTATTTTCGCATTTTTGAAAACCAAAATGCGTAAATTCTTTCACGCGCGTTGCTAGCTCTCATTTGCCGATTCTTTTTTCTTGTTCTCCCCTTCTTTTTCTTCGCCTTTCTTCTCCCGCCCCTCTTTTACGCTTTACTTTTCAGGTAATGAAGCTGCCGCTCGTCCTTCTCGCCTTGGCCGCCGCCATCGTCTCCGCCAAGGAGCCAAGCGTCGACAACTTCAAGGTCGGCGTGCTCGAGAAGGGTGCCGATGTGGCCGATCTAAAGAGGTTGAAATATTTGGCAAATTATTCAATTTCTGATTTTAGCATCACCCTCTTCTCGAAATCTGCCGAAAAATGGGTCGTCTCGGCGAGCCAGCGTCTCTACATCGCCTTCAATGTGATGACTAAGGGAACGAAGGAGGCGCTGCGACCACATCAGGTTAGAATCTTTGAAAAAGCCTTCTAAACTTTCTTTTTTAGGTATTCGTCCTCCTCGAGCACGCCGAAACAAGCGCGGACATCGTCTTCGTCGCCGATTTGCAAAAGGACGGCACCTACATTTCCGACATTGTACGTTTGCCTTTTTCCGACTTTATTTCTTCTTTTTAGGACATGAACAAAGTGGGCGCCGACTTTGACGGTCACTCCGGCAAATTTCACGCCCGCCTCATCATCGGGGATGCCACCATCAAGAACCCGATTGATTGGAACTTTGTAAGAAATCGCGTTTTTCTCATTTTATTTCCATTTCCAGGCCGATATCGACATTGCCACCCCGCCCACTCCAATAGGATTTGTGAAGAAAAGTGAACAGGTATCGCAATTCCTTTTTGACAAATTCCAATTTTCAGGTGTTCTTCGAGCCGCTGCCCTCAATCACCCATCAATTTCGCCAACCCGAAAAACGACCGCCGGGCATCGTTTCCGGTAATTTTCGCGTTTTGTGCCTAAAAAACCCTTTCTAGATGCTTTCACACTGCTCTGCTTGGCGCCGCTCGTCATTCTGGTGGGATTGTGGCTGAAAATCGGCATCAACTTCTCCAACATGCCCGTCAACCTCTGGACGCTGCTCTTCCACGCCGGATTGGCAGGTATGCTTTGCGAAAATTGCGCGTAGAACGGCGAAAAAGACGTATTCCACTCTTCCGCACGTTTTTTGCGAGGGAATTTGTTTTAAAGTAACGATTTCAGCGATCTTCGGCCTCTACATGATGTTCTGGCTGCGGCTGAACATGTTCGACACACTGAAGTACCTGGCCATCGTCGGATCGGTGACGGCGTTCGCGGGCAATCGACTTCTCCGCTCGATCGCCAGCCAGCGCAAGGAAAAGAAAAACTAAGAACAATGCCCATTCCTGTTTTCATCTTTTTCACTCTGGGATTGTGTATTTCTTCTCCTGTTCTCTGTTAGGATTGTGCATTTCCCCCTGATCGGCCTCCGGCAATTCTTTACCTGAAATAAGGGTGCGACTGTGATTTGTTTCCTTTTTTCTGATCTATCCCACGCCGAAGACTGATTCCTGGTTGTTCCTTTTCTCTCTGCACACATTTTCTCGGGCGAATAAAGTATTTGGATGCGAATCCAGGAAAAGTTTGCAGAAAAAACGTTGAATTTGCTTTGGTGATATTTCTGGAGACTGGCGCTGAATCGAATCAGAATGGATAACTAGTGGAAAACGTTGCGACGGCGCTGTTTTGCGGTTTCTAGGCAAATTTATCGTTGGAAAAGGCACGCCAGTGACAAAGTGCTCGAAAGAACTTGCCTTTTTCTGAAAATGGCACCGTCGCTTCGTTTTTCTTTTTGTTTTCAGCCGGAAAGATTGATACCACTATTTTTAGATGTTGCGCGGCGTGTTCGCGACCGCCACGAAGCAATTGGCGGAAAAGACGGCCAGCTCGCACTCTGATGACGAGGGATCAAGCGACAAACCAGCCGCCGTCCCCGCTGGATTCAAGTGTCGAAGGCGGCGGACGGTGAACCTCGGCGCTGGCAGCCTCTTCATGCTCGATGCGAAGGGCAACGATGATTCCAAAGAAGTGACGAGCGACGAGGAAGAGAAAGAAGGGCCCAAAACGACAACTCGAGATGTGCAACTCGAAAAGACGCTGGCCAAGGCCTCCGTACAGCCGGGATTCGAGCAAAACTACGCCCAAGGTATCGAGCCGATGTCGCGGCGCCAGCAAAAGAAACGAGGAAAAGAAGAGCGGGAAAAGACGACCGGATCCGGATGGTTCGATATGCCGGCCAGTGAATTGACCGACGAACGAAAGAGGGATCTCGAATTGTTGATGATGAGAGGCGCGCTCGACCCGCGCACTTTCTATCGAAAGAATGACCGAACGGTGAGGCTTTTATTAATGTAATGAATCGTCGTTTTCTATTCGAGTCTAACTTTTGTATTTTCAGGTGTTCCCGAAGTATTTCCAAGTTGGCACCGTGGTCGACGCGCCCGAGGATTGGTACGCATCGCGTATCGGGAAGAAACAACGAAAGAAGACGATGGTGGACGAGGTGCTGGCTGATGAGAGAGTCGTCGAGAGAAGCAAGAGGAAATTCGATGAAATGCGCGGACGCGAGAAGGCCGAACGGACGGCCTACTTCCGGAAAAGTGGCCGGATGGATGGCAAAAAGAAAAAGACCAAGAAGTAGACGACCATTCTTCAATTCACACTTTCGTTTTGTTATTCACGGTTGATTGTTGAGGTTCCAATTTTGATGCGTATGATAAAGATTTTTGAATTGAAATTGGCAGTTTGTTGTGGTTACAGGCGGCTTTTCCGATTAATTCGTACCTTTGAGCTTTGGAATAGACTTCAGGAATACCTTGGCTCGCGGAATTTGCGGCGCGCAGGGGAAAAAAAACAAGTTTTCTGAGCTCGTTTCGTTTGCTGAGGTCGAATTTTCATATTCTTAGCCTCCAAATACTAGGCTTTAGAGCAGCAACGATAAAAAGTCGATATCGGAAATGTTTTTCCGCGTATCAGGATGAATTTTGGCACTTGTGGTTCAAAGTTGCGTTTTGAGAATATAGAAATGTCAAATTCGAACTCAGCTAACCGAAATAGCCTAGTAAACTTGTATTGGGCCGAGAAAGCGCCGCCGAGCTGGCCGAAGCCTTGATAAAACCTTCAACGCGCCGCAAATTCCGTCTCCAATGCGAAAACCCATTATTTACGCCTATTTTTCAGCGCCCGGCCGGATGTCGTTGGCCAAGAACGTGGCGAAGGTGACGGAGGCGTTGCCGCGCGCCGTCATCACCTGGGACAAGGCGGCGCGGATACGAAGGTACGAAGAGATTTGGGCAAACCCCAAATCGGTCGTCCATCGACTGCCGGACCACTACAAGAAGCGCTTCTGGGACAACGTGCTGCGAGACGCCGCCCCCGTCCACTATAGGTTCGCGAATTGTTTTGGCCTTTTAGCCCTTTTCGAATCTTTCGCATCATCGGGGGAGAAGACTAAAAGTTTTTGGATAAGTCTAGAAATGCCTAATAACTAAATAGACTGCATTTTAATCATGATTTTGGTAAAATCCATCTAGATTTCAACTAGCAAATATCAAAAAGCTGTCAAAAATCCCAAATTTCGAGCAACGATGGCCATTTTTGGCGAAAAAAATCTCATTTTTGTAGTTTTCAAATGAAAAATTGTAAAATTTTTCGTTTGGGGATCGTAAAAAAACAGTTTTCAAGGATTTCCGATCGTGTTATTAGAAAAAACCCATTTCCAGGCCGCCGACAAGCCGCTACGCTTGGGACGAGAAGCGCCTCGTGATGGTCGAGCAGGAGGACAACCCAATCAGAGGTAAAAAGATATTTTCTCGCCGTGAAATTGGTATAAATTCAGGCATTCACCCGCCGGAAGCCGACGCGGGATTGTGGGGCGGCGAGGGCGTCGTCAAGGGCTACCGCGAAAGTCGCCCCTACACCAAGAAGAAGGTAAAAATAATTTGGTGGAATATATCTGCAATCTGAAATTTAGATCCTGGCTCGACATTGGGTGCCGAAGCTGTGGTTCCCGGAATTGCGCGACGTCGTCTTGTACTCGGAAATCCTCGACGCACACATGAAGATCCAAGTGACCGAGCGGGCGCTTCGGCTTATCGATCAGCACTTTGGGCTCGACTACTATTTGCTGGTCGGTTAGCGGAGAGTCGCCTCCTCACAAAACGGCCTCGATCTCGTTGCTAATGTTTTTTTCATTTCCAGGAAACGCCCGAAATCGACCTCGACAGCCGGCTGGCCAACAAACTGAAGCGCGAGATGCTGTTGGCGTTGGCCCACGAGAACTACTACCCCGACGACGACGAGCGCAGGGACTACATTCGCCAGAAATACGCCAAATTCCGGATCTCCGAAGAGGTATCAATTTCTTTGCCAGCTTCCTTTAGTCCTGATTCCAGGAGGCCAAATGGGTGGGCCTTTCGTTGAACGAGGCGGCTCGATTGCAGCAAGACCTTGAAGACGCCGCGGAGGCAATCCCGCTCAAAAACACGTAAGTTTCCGGTTTCTTGGGGAAAATCCCGTTTTTTTAAGATTCGCCGACGAGTTGCGGAAAAGCCTGGCCGGAGGGACGGACGTGAAGGCCGACGAGGAGCAGTACGCACCAAAGGTTGCTTTCCGACCGTTGCGGCTAAACTTTCTCCGGGTTTTTTTAGTTTGAAGAGAGCAAATTCGGCGAGAAGCTATTCGGGCAGGTGATGCGCCCGCTCGAGCAACGGCTGAAGAAATGAAAGCAAATGCCGGACGGATCATCATCATCTGTCTTTTCATTATTCATTCTTGTATCGTGTCTACCTGTACAAATAAAGGAATTGTAGTGATAGAGCGCTTCAGTCGAATAAATTGTTTTGTTTTATCGGTCGCCTTTTTCGGCATTTCAATTGGTTATTTCGCCGTCGCGGTTTTTTGTTGGCTGTCTTTCTGCTGATTGGCAAAGAAACGAGGTATTTTCTAGTTCACCTACGCGCTGTTTTTCCTTTATTCTGATAGCAGGCTTTTTACTTGCAAACGGGCTGTTCAGACGGCTAAAATTCGCGAGAAAATGCGATACTTGCAATCGGGCGTTTAGCAAGTGCCACACGTTGTACGAATCTGCGTATTTCTAATATTTGGAACCCAAATTGATTGCTTTTACAGCTAAAATACGCCCTCGATACTTTAGCTTACCCATTAGAAGGTAGTAATGCGCATATTGAAAAGTTTTTGGGCCCTAAAATAACTTACTTTTACCGCCAAGGTACGCCCTTTCAACCTCGCTTCATTTTCTTCATTCTATCCGTTTTCTGGCTTCACAGTTGCCGGAGTTAGTGTCGGCTTCTCTTTTTGGACTTATCTTACGCTTTTTACAGTGTTTTCTGGTTTTCCGGGATAAAAAACTATGCTTATATCCGTTTTTTTTTGCAGGAACCCCGGCCCCGCCATTCGATTCGGATGAGCTTTGCCAGACGGATCGAATATGGTGAGTGTTTTTAGCCTTAAAGGGATTTATACATTTCCTATTTTCTAAATCTCTTTTTACAGATGAGGACGCCGTGTCGGCAAAACGGGCCCGCGGCGACATGGGCGACCGCGTCGTCGAGCCGCCCGCCGAGCTGCACGAGCTGCTATCAAAGCTCGGCGACCCGGTGAGTAGCATTTACCCGTTTTTAAACCATTTTCCAGGGTCCCGTCTCGTTGGAGAGCTCGATCGAGGAGATGGTCACCCTCCTCGACAAGGAGCTCGAGCACAGACGCCAGAAAGTGATCGACGTCCTCACCAGCTGGTAATCAGCCATTCTACGCTTCAATTCGTCTTTTTAGCGTCGTCTACATGCCGCACAAGCTGACCGTCTACTCGACGCTCGTCGGCCTTCTCAACGCCAAGCACTACACGTTCGGCGGAGAGGTAGCCGATTTTCTGCGGCTTTTTTACGCAGGATCCCGAGACTAGCGGCCCGGAAGCGTCCTTTTTTCGATTAGATCTAGGCATCACTACAAAGCTCTCAAAAAGTCCGTGATTATGGGTGTTCTGAGCTTGGAAATGCTGCGATTTTTGCGCGATTTTCCGGCCCAGCAACGGCGCTAGAAAAACTACTTTTTTGTTCTTTCGTGCTTGGGCGTTTTCGGGGGGTTTTGCGCAAACCATTTCAGAAGGCACCACACGGATCACATTTAACAGTATTGAATGGCCGAAGATTCCAAAAATATAGCAAAACTTCTTCAAAATTCGAAAATCTGAGGGACCACTTCCGTTCGCTTTTTCGGGGCGTTTTCGATGTCTAAATCGACAAAATGGCACCTTTTTTCCGGGCCGCTAGAAGGCGGGTGTTTTTTTTTCTCGGGTGAGGCCTCTACAATTGTCATTTTCAGATTGTCGAGAAGCTGTGCGCCGACCTGCAGGCGTTCCTCGAGGCCGAAAACTACAATTATTCCCTCCATCTCGTGAGTTTGCCCTCGTTTTTCATAAATAACCTCCGTTTGTTTGCAGTCAATCTTCCTGTGCGACCTCGGGAATTGCCGGGTGCTGTCGCTGAACTCGGTCGTCGAATTTCTCGAGGGATACCTGGAGGCCGCCTTCGAAGAGGACATCCCTCAGGTACATTTTGAGCTGAATTTCGAGCCTAAACAGTGCCAAAATTGTCGAAAATATTTTCGACGTCTTTTTCGTTGTTTCTTAGGCTCCGTGTTTCCCAATGTCAATCGCGGAGGTGCTCCTACGGTGTTTTCGCGATTTCTAAGCTCAAAAGTACTAATTTGTATTGAAAATTCACAAATTTCCCCTTTTCGAGCGAAAATGGCCGATTTGAGACGCGAATCACCAATTTTGAAACTATACGATGTTTTAAAAACGCAAAAAAACCCTTATTTTTAGGTGCGCGCGGATTGGTTCGTGTACGCGGTGCTGCACTCGTTGCCGTGGATCGGTGGCGAGCTGGCCGAGAAGAAGACGTCCGAGCTCGACAACATTCTCGACGGGCTCAGCCGCTACATCGAAGCCAGAAGCCGCAACCATGTCGAGGTATCGCAGCAACCCGCGCCCCCAGAATTTGAAGGGCCCCGAAATTCGTGCAGTCGCCAACCGCTGGCCGCAACGCAGCCATGCGCCGCGTGAAACGCGTCGGTTCTGCATGTGCTGAAGATTTTGATCCTTTTGTCTAATTCCAAGAAAAGGGATTTCGGCCCCGAAATGATTTGTTTTTCTCGAATTTCTGACGTGTTTTCTCGCGAAATCTATCGGCTGCTTTTTTTTGGGGAATAGAGAGAAAGCGCTGGCCACAACGCAGCCGCGCGCAACGTCAAAAAAATGTCGTTTCTGGAGTCCGAAAGCTATTTTGATAGTTTTAGCTGCTCCCCGAAGAGGGGTTTTTCCGAAGTTTTCGGTTTCTCCCGGATTTTTTTTGGCGTTTTGGCAGGCGAATCGGTTCTTTCGCATTATCGGGTGGGGCGTCGTACTAATAGTAAGCGTTTTAATAGTGTTCTTAGTAAAATTTAACTATATTTGGAGTGGAAACAGAATTGATAAAACTTAGAAAGGTTTTTTGGTTGAAATTCTGGCCAAAAAGCGGCTCTTTTTTTGTCGTTTTTCATCAAAAATTTACTGTTTTGCGTTTAAGAATAGTAGAAAACAGTTTAGAAACACTTGCGCTATTTATATTAGGAAAAAATTACTCCCCCGATGATGCGAAAGAAACAGGAAATTTATCGGGGATTTTGAGGGGATACAGCTGCCGTTTTTAGGCGGTGTTTAGGCGCAAAGCTTCATTGAACTGGCGAATTTCCCATTCCTGGTCCTTTATTCGGTTTTTACATCTAAAAACAATGAAAAAATTCTAAAAATTTTCACAATTTTTGATTTTTTGGTCAAAAATCCATGAAAAATGGCCATAAATAGTCAAGAATTTTTGAATTTTCACATTTTTACAAAATATATTTTATATCTTTGTTTCGCCCTTGCGAAAAATCTCTCTCTTCCCCCCCGCTAACAATCCAGAACCCAAATCCTGCCAAAAAATGACGATGTTTTGCAGTTGCTGCAAGTGTGGACGGGCGCGGGCGGCCATGACCAAGAAGACTACCTCGACTCGCTATGGGCCCAGATGACGACGCTGCGAGAGGCCGGGTGGAAGGAGCAGTTCATCGGCCGTCATTACATCGCGTTCGACGATCGACTGCAGGACGCGCTCCAGCACAATCTGCCCACCTTCAACCCGCCGCCCCACTCGACCGCACGAAACTACCCGAGCCCGTGGATCGTCTTCCGCCTCTTCGACTACACCCACTGCCCGCCGGTCCGTTGTTTTTTTTATTTTTTTTAGCACGTTTTAGCGATGTTTAAAGTTTTGAAACATGTTTGAAAAAGTCGAAAAATTCGAAAAAAACAATTTTTCGATCTAAAATTGAATTTTGCATTCAAAGTTGTAAAGTTTTTTCAAGCTCAAGTGTAAACTTAATTACACGATTCGAAAGCCCGGGAAAACGGCGTGTTTGCACCGATCTTCCCACTAAACTTCCGGTTTTTCGGCACGCAATTTTGGAGGCCATTTTGTGGAGAAAAGCCCCCTTGTTTTTGCATAAAATCTACGCTGACTGCTGATTTTCCGTTATAAAAATCGATGTGCAGCCAAATTTTCCAAGCAAAATACTTTAAAACGAAGAAGTTAGGTCGAAATTCAGGTTTATTTTGCCGTTTTCACTAGGACTTAGCCGGATTTGCGCCTCGAAATGTTTAGCAAAAATCGAGAGGGCACTTTTTCCACCCCGGAAAATTTGTTGTTTTTCGAAAATTACGTTTGAAATTGAAATTTTGCATCACTTTTTCTTATCAAAGCTGACAGAAACCCGCCCGAAAATGCACATTTTTGGGGGAAATTCCTCAAAGCGGCATGCTAATTGCGAAAACATGGCCAAAAATGAGTGCCACCGTTTCCATAAAAATCAGTTTTTAGCGATAACTTTTTTGTGATACAATATTTTGGTTTAGAAAGTTCGGCTGCACATCGTTTTTATGGGTCCCCATCACGGGTGAAAATTTGGTGCCGATCCGATAGAAGACGGCCAAACGTCGTGGGGCTTATTTTTCTGGAGCACCCTTCAAAATAAAAAAATAAAAATTGAATATGAAAATTCTGAAAAACTAAAAACGCAAAATCGACCGTTTTTCGTTGAATTTCGTGGCGTCATTTGTATGCGATCGTTTTTGCAGGGCCCCGTCCTCCCCGGTGCCCACTCCATCGAGCGTTTCCTCATCGACGAGGAGATCAACTGGATTCTCGAGCAGAATCTCCTCGACCCAAAGCAATGGTAACGCACATGGTCCCCTTACCCCCAACGGCTTTTTTGTTCAGCGTGAAAGCCCTGCTCAACTACCCGAAACGAGCGCAGATTCCCCTCCACTACTGCATCATGGAGGTGAGGAAGAGACGCGCTTGCAGAAACGTCGCAAATTGGGAGTTTCGTTCGCTATGCCGCAAATGACGCGATGCCGAATTCCGCTATGCCGAATTTTGCGATGCCGAATTTCCACCATGATGAATTTTGTCTTTTTCACATTACACATACATTCACCATTTGCACAAAAATCGGCATCGCGAAAATCGGCATAGCGAAAATTCGGCATAGCGAAAATTGGGCATCCCGACAATTCGGCATCGCGAAAATCGGCATAGCGAAAATTCGGCATAGCGAAATCGGCATAATAAGGTTTTACCGCAAATTGGTCATTTTTGACCGATTGTTCTTGAAAAAAAAA